TTTAATTATTTTTTAATCTTTATTGTTAAATGTAGAATGTATTACAGATGTTCGACATTTTTCCCCCATTGACACCCTCCTCCCCACTCCCACCCCCCTCCCACCTTTTCCCACACTATTGTCTGTGTCCATTGGTTATGCATATAAGTTCTTTGGTTTATTTCTTCCCACCCCTCAACCCCTTTCCCTTTGAGGTTTGTCAGTCTAGCAATGAATTTGTACTTCTTAATCCCTTCACCTTTTTCACCCATTCCCCCAACCCCCTCCCACCTGGCAACCAACAAAATGTTCTCTGTATCTTGCCACTCTCTTCTGGCCTGCAAAGTTTCTTTTGAGAAGTCAGCTGACAGTCTTATGAGAACTCCCTTGTAGGTAACTAACTGCCTTTCTCTTGCTGTTTTTAAGATTCTCTCTTTGTCTTGAACCTTTTGCATCTTGTTGATGATATGTCTTGGTGTGGGCCTCTTGGGGTTCATCTTGTTTGGAACTCTCTGTGCTTCCTGGACTTGTATGTCTGTTTCCTTCACCAAGTTAGGAAAGTTTTCTGCCATTATTGTTTCAAACAGGTTTTCGATTTCTTGTTCTTGCTCTTCTCCTTCTGGCACCCCCAAGATGTGAATGTTGGCACGCTTGAAGTTGTCCCAGAGGCTCCTTACACTATCCTCATTGTTTTGGATTCTTTTTTCTTTTTGCTGTTCTGATTGGGCATTTTTTGTTTCCTTATATTCCAAATCGATGGTTTGCTTCTTGGATTTATGTACTCTACTACTGAATCTGTGTAAATTATTCTTTATTTCAGTTAATGCCTCTTTCAATTCTGACTGTGCATCCATCATTTCTGACTGGTCCTTTTTTATGCTCTTGAGGCCCTCACTAAGTTCACTGAGGTTCTCACTGAGTTCATTGAGTATCCTTATAAGCAGTATTTTGAACTCAGCATCTGTTAGGTTGCTTATCTCCATTTCACTTAGTTCTTTTCTTGGGGTTTTGTTCTGTTCTCTCATTTGGGACCTGTTTCTTTGTCTCCTCATTTTGGCTGCCTCCCTGTGTTTGTTTCTGTGTATTAATTAATGAGAGGTATGGGGCTAGCTGAGACCAGATGCTGCTCGTTTGAAAGAATTTAGGAAAAACCTGAAGCAGGATCCAAGACAGGCCAATCCTATGGTTAAGCAAGTTTGGGTGGGCCTGAAAGTTGGGCGTGGTGGGGCGGGGCCTCAGGGGATCACCAGGGCACGGCTACCAGTGTGAGCCAGGTTGCTGGAGTCCCAGATATGGCTTCTGTCTGCCACCCCAGGGAAGGGCTCATCAAACGAACAAAGGCCTCTGACAGCACGTTTGTCCCGGAGAAAGCCCCCTCTCCAGCCCTTGCTCCAGTGTCAAACAGCTCAGTTCTTCCCTGTATGTCTCTGGTGCCCCTCAAGCTGCCTCTCCTCCAAGCTTAGAGGGAGTGAGTCCAATAAGTTCGTGCGCGGGCCCTTTAAGGAGCTACCTGGGGCTCCAGCCGCATCAGCCTCCCTGAGCCTCAGATCCCACTGGTTTTTCCAGCCAGAAGTTATGGGGACTTCTCTTCCTGGCACTGGAACCCTGAGCAGGGCACCTGATGTGGGATGGGGACCCCTCAGTTCTCAGGAAGGACCTTCCCAGCCGAGGTGTCCTCCTGATTTTTATCTGCCACACGTAGGTGTGGGACCAGCCCATCTGCCATCGGCCCTCACGCCTTCGCCCCTCCGCCCCTCCGCCCCTCCGCCCCTCCGCCCCTCCGCCCCTCCGCCCCTCCGCCCCTCCGCCCCTCCTACCAGTCTGGATGTGGCTGCTGCTTTAATTTTGTAATTGTAGGACTTCCATTCAGGATGATTTCAGGAAGTTTTGAATGATGGTTGTTCTGTAGTTTAGTTGTAACTTTGATGTGGTTGTGGGAGGACGTGATACTGCATTTACCTACGCTGCCATCTTGACCAGAAGTCTGGCCTGCATTTTTAAGTCTATTTTATCAGATATCAATATTGCTACCCCAGTTTTTTATTGTTTTGTTTTTTCCTTTGAATTTGCTTGGAAAAATTTTTTCCATCCCTTCACTTTCAACCTATGTGAGTCTTTTGTTGTGAGGTGGGTTTCTTGTAAACAACGTATATATTAGTCATGCTTTTTTATCCATTCAACTACTCTGTGTCTTTTGATCAGAGCATTTAATCCATTCACGTTTAAGGTTATTATTGATATGTACTTATTTATTGCCATTTTTGTTCATTATGATTATGTTTCTCTTCCTATTTCTTCTGTTTATTACAGCAGTACTTTTAACATTGCTTAGAGTGCTGGTTGGTGCTAATCTAGTTCCTTAGCCTTTTTTTGTCTGGGAAGCTCTTTATTTGACCTTCTATTTTGAATGATAGCCTTGCTGGGTAGAGTAGTCTTGGATTCAGGTCCTTGTATTTTAATACCTTGATTACTTCATGCCATTTCCTTCTGGCCTGTAGTATTTCTGTTGAGAAGTCAGCTGATAGCCTTATTGAAGTTCCTTTGTAAGTAATCTGTTGCTTATGTCTTGCTGCCTTTAGGATTCTCTCTTTGTCTTTAATTTTTGGCATTTTCATTATTATGTGTCTTGATGTGGGCCTGTTTGGGTTCTTCTTATTTGGGGCTCTCTGTGCTTCTTGAACTTGTATGTCTTCTTTCTTTACCAAGCTAGGGAAGTTTTCTGTCACTATTTCTTCAAATATATCCTCTAACCCTTGCCCATTTTCTTCCTCCTATGGCACTCCTATGATGCAGATGTTGTTACATTTTATATTGTCCCACAGTTCTCTTAGGTTGTCTTCCTGTTTTATTTATTTATTTATTTATTTATTTATTTGTTTGTTTATTTATTTATTATTATTTTTGGGGGGGTTCTCTGATTGGTGATTTTTTCTACCCTGTATTCTAATTCACTGATCCAGTCCTCAGCTTCCTCTACTTTGCTCGTTATTTCTTCCAATGTGTTCTTTATTTCTGCTATGTCAGTCTTCATTTCCAATTGGTTGGTTTTCAATGTCTCTATATCTTTACTCATGCTGTTGAGCTTCCTCGTGATTATTACTCTGAACTCTCCCTCTGATTCTTGCTTAATTCCATGTCATTTTTTTTTATTCTCCAATAGAATTATCTGGTTCTTTCATTTGGGATTTGTTTCTTTGTTTCCCCATTTTGGCTGTCTCAGTGGGTTTTGGAGCCTGCCAAATTTTCCCCATAGGTGTTGGCGTTCCGCTGGTTGTGGCTCCCTCTATTGGGTTTGGATGAGTGTGGGAGGACCTACATTAAACACCACTGTGAAGTCTTATTTTCCTGGGTAGATTTGCCAACCAAGGAAAGATTCAGTTATCCTCTTGCTTTTTGCCTGGAGACTGTTAGTCTCAGTTACTTGATAAACCTCAATTTGTAGCCCTAGGCTGAATGAAAAATCCCTCAGATGTAAGAGATTTCCAGTAGGTGGGGCAATTGCTTGTTATCAGACTTGATGTCAATTAGCCTCAATTTGCATTTCTCTGGCCCGGCCTGGTGGTGTTAAATTCTCGTATGAGGGGCCATCCCTTCTCCCCAGGGCTCTGGGAAGGGGCTCTTTGAATAATATGGCTACTGTCCTGTGAGGGAGTGATTCAGCACAAAACTCCCGATGTCCTCCCATCCAGCTCTCTCCTGATCCAAGAGCCCTGGACTCTATTTACACAGTTCCAGTCCAGTCCTTCTTCCCTCTGCCAGAGCCCAAGGTGAGTGGCTGTAGCTGAGTTGGTGCTTTTTAAAAACCCCTGCTTTCTCAGTGGGAAACACACACAGCTAATACAGCTCTCTGCTGCTGTCGTTGGGCTCACAGTCTGCCCTTACATGCCTCCACAGTTCCTACCAGGCTGGATTTGGTGTCCTCTTTCTGTCCCTGGTTGTACGGGTTCTCTCCAGCTACCTTTCAGTTGGTTTTTCCCGATGATTTGTCTTTATTTTAGTTATAATTCCAGTTTGGTCCTGGGAGACAGTCTCTGTAGCTTCCATTCACTCTGCTGCCATTTTCCACACCTCCCCTTTGCCATTATTTTAATGCTATAACCTAAATCAAGTGTTGGTTGCCTGACACCCCAAAAACCAAACTCAGGTGACAGGTGCTGGTGAAAAAGAGGTTGATTCAAGTTTTGGCCAACTGAAAAGATGGGGAACTCTTGCTGCAAACCCCATCTTAACATTCAGTGCAGGCAGAGGTTTTTACAAGGAAGGAGAGGGAAAGCAGAACAAAGCGATCAAGGGGGGAGAGGGGTTGAAAAGTTCTCTATGTGCAGACCTGTACGGTCCATTCTGATAAAGACTTTGAAACTGGTCAAATGATGGTCTGGTGTGCATCATCCTGGGTTTTGTCATCCTGGTTTTACAGTTGAAGGTCAGCAATTCTCCTAAAGCTGGGACGACTAAAGGTCAAAGTTGGTATCCTCTGAAGTTAGTTCCTAGGATTCTTATACAAACATGCTGTTTATCTACAAGCTACATATTAGTCAGAGTTAGCATTTATAGAAACATTGTCAAAAGGATGGTGGGTGGGTTACAATTTTCCACTGTTACAATACCATCAGATTTATCCCCCTTAATTACAAAACATGTTTGCATAGCTTTACTAGTGGTCAGTCAGGAGGAGGTCATGGAAAATTCTAATAGAGTCAGCTGCCTGCTAGTTGGTACTGTCATTTCTTTTATATAGCTTCTATTCCCTTGCATTTGTTCAAAGAATGTAGACCAGCCCAGAGGACCTAACCCTGGCTGCACAGGAGAGCTACCTGGGGAGCCTTTGAAAAGCCCAAGGCCCAGAGATGCTGATTTGATTGATCTAGGAAGGGGCATCTGTGCTGTTTTCAAGTTCCTGGTGATTCTCTGTGCAGCCAAGGTGGAGAGACACTCTGCTAGATGAACACTAAGGCCCTGGCATCATGATTACAATTCAGCTGCTCTTTTCATGTCTCCAATAAAAACAATTTGCTTTCTAGGACTGACAATAGGTGCTGGCTGCAGTCTGGCCCAGGTGAAGGACATCTTGGCTGAGAGGGTTTCCAAGCTCCCAGAGGAGACATCTCAGACATACCAAGCCCTTCTGAAGCACCTGGAGAGTCTGGCAGGCCAGCAGATCCGGAATATGGCAGTATGTTCTCCAGCCCAACCATTAGGCACATGGCACCTATTTCTTTATCCCACTGGAATGTCGAAATAGGCTTTGGCAGAATCTGTATACAAAAGTGTCTCAGCGGATTGAAATGACAGGCATGAGCAATAAATACTTAATATTTAACAAACATTATTTAATAACATAGTTAAAGAGGATTCTAAGTCAAGTTTAATTGAGTGCCCAAGCTGCACTGTAGGTAGGAAAGAACTTCATGGTTTTGCTAATTTTATAATAAGACTGTCAAAGAACCTAACGTAGTCTAAGGCTGCATTAACAGAAGTATAGTACCTAAAATAAGGAGGGTAGCCTTCTCTGCTCTAGACTGTTTAGACTACAGCTGGAAAATAAAGCTCAGATCTGGGAAACACATTTAAAGGTCTGGTTATTTATGGCCGCAGGAGAAAGTAGAAGAGACATAGTTAGGTTTTCAAAATGCACATGCTCCCTTTCCCACATACCCCAAATGGTGTATTAGAAATTCTTGGGATATAGGGAATTGGGGGAGAACATGTTTCCTTTGTAAAATCTCTTCAAGTGATTTCAAAACATTCTCTCCCCTTGCCAGCAAGACACCCTGGATCCAGGCAAGGAGATGGTTGCAGGAGTGTGAGGGGCTGGAAACCACATCAGGAGGAGAAATGGTGGGAGTGGAACAGTCAGAGGGATCATGAGAGCTGCTTTCAACCATATATAGGCTCCTGAGGACAGATGGCTTTATTTCATATGATCAAAAGAGTAGAAGTATGGCCATTATGTGAAAGCCCAGGGAGGCCGATTTCAGCTCAGTGGAAACAAAAACTTTAAAATCAAGCTGTCAGGTGGCCAGTTAGCTCAGTTCGTTAGAGCATGGTGCTAATAAAATCAAGCTGTCCACAGAGGAATTGGGGTTTCCTGTCCTTACCAGTGTTACAGCCCAAACTGCAGCAACCTGGGTGATCACTGTGGATTCCATCTCTGTGTGGGAGGAGGGTACTGAGTTGAGTGGCAGTCATTGCCCTCCCAAGCTCTGAGGTACTATAGGCTCAACCCAATCGGAGTGGAAAATTCCAAAAAGAGAACAAAAGGCACCCCACTCTCAAGGGTACATGTGCCCAGAACTTTGACATGGTCCACATGAATTCTATGCTGTGACCAAGGCTGAGTTGGGGGTAGTTCAAAACTGGCCACTGAGCCTCGCTGCTTGGGATTGAATCCCACTCCTCCCCTTTCTAGCTGGGAGACCTTGGTCAGATTTCACAATTTCTCTGTTCCCAGGGTCTTCATCACTAGACTGGGGAGATGGCATCAATCTCACTGGGTTGTTGTGAGGATGAGTAAGTAGTTGTGAAAATGTTGACAGCAGGTGGAATACATTGATTCCTCTCAATCCAAAGTAGCAGTGGGAAGGGACCTCCAGGGCAGAATAAACTCCCAGACAGTGGGAACTGAGTCTCCTCTGCAAAGCAGACCCAGACTCCTCTGGATTCTTTTGCTACCTGAGAGTACCATAAGCAGGCACCTGTGGGGCAGAGGATGTGAGGGGTAGAATGGCCCAGGCTGTAACTCTCTCTTCTTAGTCCTTAGGGGGACATGTCATAAGTCGGCATTGCTATTCAGATCTGAATCCAATTCTGGCTGTGGGCAACACTACCCTCAATCTGATATCAGAAGGTAAGCTACCTCAGAACACTCTGAACAGCACCTAAAGATTGTTTGTCTTTTTTTTTTTTTTTTAAAGGATTCTTAGTAAGTCAGAGCCCATGTCTCTGGCTCTCAATGCACCATGGGAAACTCAGGCTCCTGGAAGAAGGCACATTGATGCAAGGGGGTGGCTAGTGCTTCCTTCTGGCACTACCCCACATACACACAACACCCACCCTGGCCCACAACTCAGTCAGCCCACACGTCAGCCAGAAGTGGGGTGCGAGGCTAAGGCAAAGCTCTCCACGGCCTGAGGACTGCTCCCTTGTCCTCTTCACACACACCCACCTCACCCCTAGTTGCTGTGTGAGAATCCACAGGTCTGGCGAGGATGCTCTGCCAACACCTCAGACCCTCTGGGGGTGGGAGGAAGGCAGAGATTGATCTTGCACGCTGGCTGGGAGGGACACTCCCTTGGGGCTACTCCATACTAAGCACCCTTGTCTTCCTGGATGTCCTCAGCTTGCACACTGCCTCCGGCTGCTCCAAGGATGCTGACCCTCCCCTTAATGGGCACCAACTGTGTGCAAGGCTGTGTTGGACACTTTACACACAGCATGTCTAATCGAACCACCCAGCTGACATCACCTGTAGAGGTGCATGGGCTAGGAACCCCCGCCTGTCTGATTTCCAGACTGGTGTGCTGGCCTCTTCTCCCTCCGGCCGCCTCCCGGGGCCTCTGATTTCCCTCCCAATCTCTCCTCCCCTCCTTCACACACAGCCTATCACATACCCCTCCTGCTGTCCATCCCACTCAGCCCATCCATTATTTACCCCTCCGTGGGCTGACCCAGGCCCGGGCACTGGGGAACATGGGAACAATCACAGCCTGCCCCCCATGAACTTCAGGGGTGTGCGTGACTAGGAACCCTGTCCCAGGCATTGTAAGCCTGCTGAGGAGTTTGTTAACCAACACAGCCCATCCCTGATTGGTGTGAACTGAGAGCATCAGGAGAAACTTGGTGGCAGAGGGAAAGCTCTCCTGTCCCCAATCAGCTTTGCGTGGGGCCCTCCTAGGAAGGAGGAGAGGGAAGGCCTCGCCCCTGACAGCGTCAGCCATCTTGCTGAGCCCTCCAGGCCTGTGGTCCAGGATGACCCCAGTTGACTCCCAAAGACTAGGAAAGAAGCCAAGACTCGGGGCATCAGGCTAGGAAGGACAGCTGGGCCCGCAGCAGGCTGCCTCCTATACTAGCAGTAGGAGTGCTAAGGGTAATCGAAGTGTCCTTCTACTGGGCTGTTGGTCATTACCCCCGGCTTCAGGTCCCTGCTCTCCCAGCTCCAGCGAAGCCAGTGCGTGAGCTTGCCGACCAGCAGCAGGGCAGGCCAGCAGACATCAACCGGGGATCCTGTGGGGCGTGCCCGCCTCCCTCTCTGCTACACCTGTTCCAGTCGGCACGGTGCTGCTCGTGCAGACACAGAACCCACGCCAGGAGCTCTAGGCTATAGTTTGATCTCCTCACTGCACCTCCTGTAGAGCCACGAACCACCTTTTAAAGCCAGAGGGGACCGTGGACCACTCAGTGATGACAACGGGGCTGAAAGGAGGTTTTGTGCATTGTTCCCTTTGCTTTAAAGGTGTAGGTATCCAGCATAGGAGCCAAGAGCAACATCGAAAACTAAAAGCAAACCCATTGGTTAGAACTCAGCCCTGGCTGGTTTTGCTCAGCAGTTAGAGTGTCGGCCCGCAGACTGATGAGTCACGGGTTCTATTCCGATCAAGGGCATATATCTCAGTTGCAGTTCATCCCCGGCCCTGATCGGGGTCATGCAGGAGGCAACCAGTCAATGTGTCCCTCTCACATCGACGTCTCTTTCTCTCTCTCTCTCTTTCTCCCCCTCCCACTCTATCTGAACAAAGATGAAAAAATGTCCTCGTGTGAGGATTTAAAAAAAAAAAAAAACTCTGTTAACAGTGCAGTGCAACCCTGTTTCAGCATCAGGTACGCCCTAACCTTGATCACAGAATTGAAGGAATTAGATTTGACTAACCAGCCTCTGCTGAAAGATGAAAACCCAGGCTGGCAGGCCTTGCAGGCAGGAGGAGAGCCGGTGCACACGGAACATGTGCTGATAAGAGTCAATGTCATGCCGCTGCCACCCCCTCCCTGTGAGGGGACAGGAGAGCCTAACTGTCACACACTCAGGTCTCTGCATCACTTGGGGCTGAGGAAGGTGACCTTCTCTTCTTTGCCGCTGACATTTGAGGGCACAGGATAAATCTCATGTTCCTTGTTAACACTACACAGAAATGTCATTTTCTTCAACAGAAGGTAGGCGGCAGATTCCTCTAAACGAACATTTTCTTGCTGGGTTGGCAAGTGCGGACCTTAAGCCGGAGGAAATTTTGGAATCTGTGTACATCCCTCACTCTCAAAAGGTAAGAATTCCCCTGGTTGCTCCTGAGCGCTGTTTTTCCCTTTTCATCACTGAGTCCTGTCATATTTACAACTTTGAAAACAGACAGAAGGAAACAAACTCTGCCATGAGAATAACAGCTTCCTGTTCACTGGAGACTGGCGCAGCTCCAAGGGCCTCAGCCACCCTCCAGCAAGCAGCTCCAGGGTGTGGGTTTAGGGTGTTGTTTCAGCTGTGGGGTGGGGCCTGCTGAGGGCCTGCAGTTGGTTGCACTTCCTCTTGTTCCAGATCAACTCTGGGAAGTGGAAATTAAAGCTCTGGCTATAACCCGGCCAGTGTGGCTCAGTGGTTGAGTGTCAACCCATGCACCAAGAGGTTGCTGGTTTGATTCCAGGTTGTGGGTCAAATCCCCAGTGGGGAGCATGCAGGAGGTGGCCCTCATGGATGTTTCTATCTCTCTCTCCCTCTTCCTTCCTCTCTCTCTAAAATTAATAAAGAAAAAAAAAGCTTTTAATAAAAAGTTCTCTGGCTGTAGAATGAGCTTCTCTGCCTGACCCACAAAGAGATGGAGGCTGGGCCAGGCCTCCCCACTCCTCACACTAGCTAATCAGCACCGTTCATAGAACATGAGGACCTCCAGACATCTGCTAACACAGGATCCAGGCCTGGGCTTGATATGGCTACCCCCTAGCTATGGAGGGGGCCTTCGGTCCTCACTCTCCATTCTCTGTGCCTCTCCCCAAAACTGTACATGAATCCAAGAAGACAGTCTTCCCAGAGAGAGGCAATACCACACACACACACACACACACACACACACACACACACATCAGAAGCCAGGTGTCAGCTGGATTGTCTTATGCTTTCAGCCATGCATGACCTTCACTTCCTTTTCCTGTGGAATGAAAACTCTGAAATGTGTTCCTAGTCTAATGTGCATCTGTGTGAAGGCCCCAGGCAGAAAAACAGGCCATCTCCATTAACCTCTGTCAGCATGCCAATGGCCACAGTACCAAGAGGTCAGTGGGGTAACTGTCACCCTCCTGACTCTTGTTCCTGATGCAAGATTCCTCAGCCCACTGCTGGAAAGTTCATTTCGACTCTCTTATGAGCTATGCAAAATGGAAAGTGATAGTTTCTGCAAACCAAGAAATGTGGTCAGTCTCTGTTGCACTTCGGGCAAATCATATTGAAAAGCACTGGTGTTGGAGGGCTCCTCCACCCTCACGGGGACAAAGGTGCATCAAGACTATGAGGAATGGCACCTGGAAATAAGAGCATGTGGAGATGAGCCAGGCATGCTGTGTGGAGGCAGCCTAACCTCAGAGGAAAAGGGTACAATGATCCCTGTTCCTTCAGGGGACCAGGCATTGGGGAAAATTCCTCTAATCGGAGGACACTTTATTCTCAGTTTGAACGAGGAGGCAGCCAAGTTGCCCTCAAATCATGCCAAGTGTCCTTTGTATCCCTTTCAACTGGGTTAATTGGTGGCACAAAGAAGCAGAAACCATGCTCTTGGTTTCAATATATCAAATGGTTTTTGTCTCCACAGTGGGAATTTGTGTCAGCCTTCCGACAGGCTCCGTGCCAGCAAAACGCCTTGGCTGATGTGAACGCCGGCATGCGAGTCCTCCTCAAGGAAGGCACAGATGCCGTCCAGGACCTGAGCATCGCCTACGGAGGGCTCGGGGCAGCCACCATCATTGCCCACAACTCCTGCCGGCAGCTCCGAGGGAGGTAAGCCGTGAGCCCCGCACCCCAAGGGTGAATTGCCATTTTTTTTTAAAGTGGAAATTTGGCTCAGGCAAGTGTTGGTAAAGCCCTGGGGAAATGGAAACGCCTATGTTTAGAAACACTGCTTGTTCTTTCCATAATTTTGCTAGATGAACCAAACCTTACTTGACTATGATTAATTAGGTGGCACATTTTGGGTGAGGACTATGACTAAATGGCAAGAACTGCCTCCAGCCCCAGTCCTCTCGTGACATCAACACTCCAGCCAACGCACACGGGGCAGCGTCCAAGTGGCACCTGCCAGTCCCTCTGCTCGGGTGCAAGCTGTCTCTCCCTCAGTAAAAGCTGTGTCCAAGTCTGAGTCTTGTCAGTTCACAGTGGAACTGGCCTTCATGGTCTTTTTTTTTTTTATCCTCACCCGAGGATATTTTCCATTTTTTTGTACAGATAGAGTGGGAGGGAGAGAGAGAGGAAGGGAGAGAGAGAGAAACATCGACGTGAAGGGACACATCGAGTGGCTGCCACCCGCACAACCAACCAGGGCCGGGGACAAACTGCAACCGAAGTACGTGCCCTTAGCGGGAACCGAACCCGGGTCTCTCCGGACCGCAGGCCGACGCTCTAACCGCTGAGCCAAACCGGCCAGGGCTTCATGGTCTTTTTAATCAATGCCAGGTTCCAGCATGTTCTGGCTCTTGAACATGCTTGGTTCATATTCAAGGAACAGGTCCCATCTGCACTCTGCCGTGACCCTCGGCCCACCTCCTCCCTCGGCTATCTTGGAGTGCTTGGTTAGGTGATTTCTACGTTCCCTTCCAATTCCATAAAAAAGACTCTAAAGCTTCTAAATGATCACCATCCAATATCTAGCACCTGTTACTTGACGGAGACTGCCCTGTAACTGGTTCCCTCCTGCCTCCAACCCTCCCAGGCGCTGGAACGAGCTGACACTGGATGAGGCTTGCAGGCTGCTTCTGGACGAAGTCTCCCTCCCAGGCTCAGCTCCGGGGGGGAGGGTGGAGTTCAAGAGGACTCTGGTGGTCAGCTTCTTCTTCAAGTTCTACCTGGAAGTTCTGCAGAAACTGAAGATGCTGGTAAAGCTGTCCTCTGTGCCTGTAAGTGCTTGGGCTGTGTGTGCTCCTTGAGCCCTTAGCGCCCAGCTTTCCCACCACTTCTGTGCCCTGTCTGGGGGCGGCCTGCGCCATTTCCTGCCCTGCTCTGGGCCAGGCCTCCTCACCCAGCCGTCCCGCCTTCTGGATTCAAGAGGCTCAGGATCAGACTGTGTTTAGTCCACAGATGTTCACCACATGCCTGAGCACTGGAACATTACGGTGCCTCTGCCTTGGTGTGCAATTATTTTTCTTTCAAAATCACTTCAGAAAGTATAATTACCTATAATAAAATGTGCCTATTTAAATTCAGTGAGACTTTTGGGGCGTTTTTGTTGTTGTTGTTATAGTTGTTTCTCCCTTTTTTCCCCATTGACACCCTCCTCCCCATATCCCCCACCCCGTCCCCAGCTTTGTTGTCCGTGTCCATTGGTTATGCATACATGCATATAAGTTCTGTGGTTTATCTCTTCCCTCCCCCCACCACCCACTCTTCTGAGGGTTGTCAGTCTGTACACTACTTCCACGCCTCTGGGTTTGCCCTATTCCTCAGACTATGTTTATTATATTCCACAAATAAGTGAGATCACGTGGTATTAGTTTTTTTCTGCTTGGCTTGTTTCGCTTAGGATAATACTTTCCAGGTCCCTCCATGTTGTTTCAAAGAATAAAAGATCTTTCTTTCTTATAGCTGCATAGTACTTCATTGTGTATATGTACCACAGCTTTTTTTTTTTTTTTTTTTTAATATTTTGTTCAGATAGAGTGGGAAGGAGAGAGAGAGAGAGAAACATCGATGTGAAAGAGACACATCGAGTGGCTGCCACCCACACGACCCAACCAGGGCCGGGGACAAACTGCAACCGAGATACATGCCCCAAGAGGGAACCGAACCCAGGTCTCTCCAGACCGCAGGCCGACGCTCTAACTGCTGAGCCAAACTGGCCAGGGCATACCACAGCTTTTTTATCCATTCGTCTACTGGTAGACACTTAAGCTGTTTCCAGATCTTAGCTATTGTAAATAGTACTGCTATAAATATATGGGTACATATATTGTTTCTGATTGGTATTTCAGGTTTCTTAGGGTATATTCCTAGAAGTGGGATCACTGGGTCAAACGGAAATTCAATTTTTAATTTTTTAAGGTAACACCATATTGTTTTCCATAGTGGCTGCACCAGTCTGCATTCCCATCAGCAGTGTACTAGAGTCCCCTTTTCTCCACACCCTCGCCAACACTTGTTGTTTGATGATTTGTTGATGGTGGCCATTCTGACAGGTGTGAGGTGATACCTCATTGTTGTTTTAATTTGCATCTCTCTGTTGATTAGTGATGTTGAGCACTTCTTCATATGTCTCTTGGCCATTTGTATGTCCTGTTTGAAGAGGTGTCTATTCAGCTCCTCTGCCCATTTTTTAATTGGTTCTTTGTCTTCCTTTTGTTGAGTTGTATGAGTACTCTATATATTTTGGAAAATAACCCCTTATCTGATGTATCATTGACAATGATGCTCTCCCATACAGTGGGTTGCCTTTCCATTTTGATGGTTGTTTCTTTTGCTGTGCAGAAGCTTTTGAGTTTGATGTAGTCCCTTGTGATTATTTTTTTGTTGTTGTTTTTGTTGCCTTAGGTGATGTATCAGTAAAAAATCTGCTGCATATGATGTCTGAAATTTTGTTGCCTACATTTTCTTCTAGGATTTTTATGAATGCACGGGTCACATTTAAGTCTTTTATTCATTTTGAGTTTATTTTTGTGTAAGGTGTAAGTTGATGGTCTAATTTTATTTTTTGCATGTAGCAGTCCAATTTTCCCAACACCATTTATTAAAGAGGCTGTCTTTACTCCATTGTATGTTCTTGCCTCCTTTGTCAAATATTAATTGAGCATAATGTCTTGGGTCCATTTCTGGGTTCTCTGTTCTGTTCCACTGATCTATATGCCTATTCTTGTTCCAGTACCAGACTGTTTTGATTACAGTAGCTTTGTAGTATAACCTGATATCTGGTATTGTGATCCCACCTACTTTGTCCTTCTTTTTCAAGATTGCTGTGGCTATTCGAGGTCTTTTTTGGTTTCATATGAACTTTTGAAGTATTTGTTCTAATTCTGTGAGATACATAATTGGTATTTTGATGGGGATTGCATTGAATCTATAGATTGCTTTGGGTAGTATGGACATTTTAATGATGTTAATTCTTTCAATCCATGAACAAGGTATGTGCTTCCACTTTTTTATATCTTCCTCTATTTCTTTTTTCAATGTCCTGTAGTTTTCTGCAAATAGGTCCTTTACTTCTTTGGTTAAGTTTATTCCTAGGTATCTTAATTTTTTTGCCACAATGGTAAATGAGATTGTTTTTTCAGTTTCTCTTTCTGTGAGTTCATCATTGGTGTATAAGAATGCCATCGATTTCTTGACATTAATTTTGTAGCCTGCTACTTTTTGAAATTCGTTAGCTATAGTAGATTTTTTATGGAGTCTTCAGGGTTTTCGATGTATAATATCATGTCATCTGCAAATAATGACAGTTTCGCTTCCTCATTTCCAATTTGGATCCCTTTTATTTTTACTTCATGTCTGATTGCTGTGGCTAAGACTTCCAGTACTATGTTAAATAAGAGTGGTGAAAGTAGGCATCCCTGTCTTGTTCCTGTTTTAAGAGAAATGCTTCTAATTTCTGCCCATTGAGTATGATGTTAGCTGTAGGTCTTTCATATATGGCCTTTATTATGTCGAGATATGATCCCTCTATTCCCACATTGCTGGATTCTATCAAATGCTTTTTCAGCATTTATTGATATGATCATGTGGTTTTTATTCTTCATTTATTTTATGTGGTCTGTCACATTTATTGATTTGTAAATATTGTACCAGCCTCACATCCCTGGGATGAATCCCACTTGGTAATGGTGAATAATTTTTCTGACGTATTGCTGGATCCGATTTGCTGGTATTTTGTTCAGGATTTTGGCATCTATGTTCATCAGGGATATTGGCCTGTAGTTTTCTTTCTCTGTAGTGTCTTTTTCTGTTTTTTTATTAGAATTATGCTGGCCTCATAAAACAAGTTTTGAAGTCTTTCTTCTTCTTGAATTTTTTGAAATGGTTTGAGGAGAATGGGTGTTAGTTCTTTTTTGAATGTTTGGTAAAACTACCCAGTGAAGCCATCCGGGCCTGGCCTTTTCTTTGCTTGGAGAGTCTTGATTACCTCTTCAATTTCCTTAGTTGTTATTGGTCTGTTCAAGTTTTCTATCTCTTCCTGGTCTAGTTTTGGGAGACAGTGTGTTTCTAGAAATTTGTCCATTTTGTTTAGATTGTCAAATTTGTTGCCATATAATTGTTCATAGTAGCTGTTAACGATCTTTTGTATTTCTGTGGTGTCGGTTGTTACTTCTCCTCTTTCATTTCTGATTTTGTGTATTTGGGTTCTCTCTCTTTGTTTCTTGATGAGTCTAGCTAAGGGTCCATCAATCTTGTTTATCTTTTTGAAAAACCATCTCTTTGTTTCCTTGATCCTTTGAATTATTATTATTTTTTTTTTGTCTCTATGTCATTTATTTCTGCTATGATCTTTACTATTTCCTTCCTTCTACTTGCTCTGGGGTTTTCTTTTTGTTTGCTCTCTAGTTCTTTAAGTTGTGAGGTTAGATAGTCTATTAGAAATTTTTCTTGTTTCTTGAGGTAGGCCTATAGTGCTATGAACTTCCCTCTCAGAACTGCTTTCACTGCATCCCATAGATTTTGTTGTTGTGTGTTCATTTTCTCTTCTTTTTTTTTCAATCCTCACCTGAGGAAATTTTTCCATTTTTTGTTCATATAGAGTGGGAGGGCGAGAGAGGAAGAGAAAGAGAGAGAGAAACATCGACGTGAAAGGGACACATCGAGTGGCTGCCACCCGCACAACCCAACCAGGGCAGGGGACAAACCAACCGAGGTATGCGCCCTTAGCAGGAACCAAACCCAGGTCTCTCCAGACCACAGGCCAACGCTCTAACCGCTGAGCCAAACTGGCCAGGGCTGTGTGTGTTCATTTTCATTCGTTTCCAGGAAGTTTATAATTTCTTCCTTGATCTCCTCAGTAACCCATTCATTGTTTAATAACCTGCTATTTAGCCTTCATGTGTTTTAATGTCTTTGCATGTTCTTGTTGCAATTGATTTCTAGTTTCATGGCATTGTGATCTGAGAAGATGCTTGATATGATTTCAGTCTTCTTGAACTTGTAGAGACTTAGTTTGTGTCCTAACATGTGGTCTATCTTTGAGAATGTCCCATGTGCACTTGAGAAGAATGTAAATTCTGTAGTTTTGGGGTGTAATTCTCTGAAGATACCTATTAAATCCATTTGAGCTAGTGTTTAATTTAGAGTTTCTGTTTCCTTGCTAATTTTTTGTCTACAGGATCTATCCAGTGATGTCAGCAGGGTGTTGAAGTCCCCTGCTATGATTGTATGATTTCTCCTTTGAAGTCCTCCAGAAGATTTTAAATATATTTTGGTGCTCCTATATTGGGTGCATATATGTTTATCAAGGTTATATCTTCCTGTTGGATAGATCTTTTCAATATTATGTAGTGGCCTTCTTTTTCTCTAGTCATGGCCTTCATTTTGAAATCTGTTTTATCAGATATGAGTATTGCTACCCCATCTTTTGTTTCCTTTTCATTTCTTGGAAGATTTTTTTCCATCCCTTCACTTTCAACCTATGTGAGTCTTTTGTTGTGAGGTGGGTCTCTTGTAAACAACATATAGATGAGTCATGCTTTCTTATCCAATCAGCTACTACAGCTACTAATGCTTTTTATCAAAGCATTCAATCCATTTATATTTAAGGTGATTATTGATATGTACTTATTTATTGCCATTTTTGTTTAGTGTGGTTATATTTTTCCCCCTATTTCTTCTACTAATTACAGCAGTTCTTTTAACATTTCTTGCAGTACTGCTTTGGTGCTAATGTATTCCCTTAGCCTTTTTTTGTTTGGAAAGCTCTTTATTTGACCTTCTATTTTGAATGATAGCCTTGCTGGGTAGAGTAGTCTTGGATTCAGATCCTTGTTTTTCATGACCTTGATTACTTCATGCCATTCCCTTCTGACCTATAGGGTTTCTGTTGAGAAGTCAGCAGATAGCCTTATGGGAGTTTCTTTGTAGGTAACCTGTTGCTTATCTCTTGCTGCTTTTATGATCCTCTCTTTGTCTTTAATTTTTGGCATTTTCATTACTATGTGTCTTGGTGTGGGCCTGTTTGGGTTCTTCTTACTTGGGACTCTCTGTGCTTCTTGAACTTGAATGCTTTCTTCTTTCACCAAATTAGGGAAGTTTTCTGTCACTATTTCTTCAAATATATTCTCTAACACTTGCTCATTTTCTTCTTCTTTGGGGACTCCTATGATGCAAATATTATTATTTTTCCAGTTGTCCCACAGTTCTCTTAAGCTGTCTTCCTGTGTTTTAATTGTATTTCTCCTTTTGGTTTTCTGATTGGTTGATTTTTTTCTACTCTGTCTTCTCATTCACTGATTCAGTCCTCAGCTTCCTCTACTCTGCTGTTTAGTTCTTGCAATGTGTTCTTTATTTCTGATATGTCATTCTTCTTGATGGTATTTAATTTCCAGTTGGTTGATTTTCAACATTTCTATGTCTTTACTCGTGGTGTTGATGTCCTTACTCATGCTGTTGAGCTTCCTCAAGATCATGGCTCTGAATTCTAGCTCTGTTAACTTGCTTAACTGCTCCACATTTATCTCATCTTCGGTAGAGGTCTCTTGTTCTTTCATTTGGCTTTTGTTTCTTTTTTCACCATTTTGGCTATCTCCATAAGCTTTGGAGCCCACCAAATTTTCCCTATGTGGGTGTTGGTGTTCTGCTATTTTTGGCTCTCTCTACCGGGTTTTTTTTTTTTTTTTTTTTTTTTTTTATCCTCACCCGAGGACATTTTTCCATTTTTTTGTACAGATAGAGTGGGAGGGAGAGAGAGAGAGAAACATCGACGTGAAGGGACACATCGAGTGGCTGCCACCCGCACAACCGACCAGGGCCGGGGACAAACTGCAACCGAAGTACGTGCCCTTAGCGGGAACCGAACCCGGGTCTCTCCGGACCACAGGCCGACGCTCTAACCACTGAGCCAAACCGGCCAGGGCTCTCTCTACCGGGTTTTAATGAGCGTGGGAGGACCCATGTTAAACACCACTCTCAAGTCTTACTTTCCTAGGCAGAGTTGCAAGATCAGAAATGGTTCAGTTATTCTCTAGTTTTTTGCCTGGAGGCTATTAGTCGTGGTTACTTGAAGAGCCTTGGGTTCTCAGTTGAATGAAAACTCCCTCAAGTGTTCAGTGTATGGAAATTTCCTGAGGGTGAGGCAGATGGTGGTTGTTAATAAGCCTCAATTTGCATTTCAATGGCCCATTGGGTGGGGTTGAATCTCTGAGGGAGGGGCTGCCACCTCTCCCCAGAGCCCTGGGAAGGAGTAAGATGGCCACCGACCTATGTGGCCACAACTCAACAAAAGCTCTGAGTGCCCTCCAAATCCCGAGTGTCCCCACACAGTTCCAGTCCAGTCTTCCCTCCCTCTGCTGGAGTCCAAGATGAGCGGCTGTGGCTATTTTAGTGTCTGTCCCCACTCTGCACTGTGGAGCTGTTTGGGAGTTTAACCAGAGGGCACTGCTCACAGCTAAGGCCACTGCTGTCTGTGGGCTCCCAGCCCCCATCTCACGCCTCCGCAATCCTACCAGGATCAGTTTAATGTCCCTGGTTATATGGTTCTCGCAAGCTGTTTTTCTGTTGCTTTTTCCCAACGATTTGTCTTTATTTTAGTTGTAATTCTAGTTTGGTTCTGGGAGATGGTCTGTGTAGCTTCCATTCACTCCGCCACCATTTTGGAATCCCCCTCAGTGAGTTTTGACAAATGGCAAACCCATGTAGCCACCACCTCAAACAAGATATAGAACTTTTCCATTACCCCAAAAAATACCCTTTTGCCCCTTATAGTCAACTCTCCTACCCCTGCAAGCAGGCAACCAATTTCCAACTTTAATATGGAGTGTAAAATAAAATTTTATTTTTCAAAAATACTAAAATGTATTTGCATGCTAATATTTAAGTAGCTTCTTGCTAGATTTTTCTGATTGTAAATTTCTAGAGTAATTAAGCAAAGTGAAATATTATCTCTCTTTTTCTCCCCCCTCCCCCTCTCTTCCTGACTATGATTACAACTCTCACCCTACCTGTACTCCATACCCCCAAACTCCACCCCAATAGTCCAGCATTCCTAAAGTGTCTGATTTTCATTTACTCGGATGAAAACACTCACCAACCACATTCCCCAGGGTAATCTTTGCTACCATTTAATTTCTGAACTAAAACATTTGGTGTGCTTTAGTGACACACAGAGAGGCTTCCCAATTTTACAGCTCTCCCAGAAAAGTTGAGTAGCTGAGATAAACAATTAGTATACGGGCTCTTTTGTGTACAATGAACTCCAGTTTATTCTGAGATGGCTTATTTAGTCCCAAATTTTCTTGCTTCTCCAATCTGCTGGCCAGCTCACTGAGTGGCCTCTCCCTCTTCTCGGGGTGACTTCAGGATCAGATTCAAACCAGTCAGTCCAGTTCCTCATTATGTGGAAAGAAAGGGAGGGCAAGAAACTTTCATAAAAAGTAAAATCCTGGGAAGTGATGGGGATTTTGGTTACCCATGCTACACTGACCATGCAGTTTTGTGGATACTTTAGCCAGTCGTTTTTGCATGAATCCAAGCCGAGCTTAAACACATACTAATCAGTCTATCTGTATTGTTTTTGGATCTTTACTCAGGACTGCCTTCGATATGCTGAAGTTTCAGACCTATTCCTAAGTGCTATAGAGGATTTCTCGGTCACAGTACCCCAGGGAGTCCAAATGTACCAGGTCAGTGAGTTTAATTCAACGGAAACTTAGACACTAAGAGATAAGCAGTAGCTGTTTGAACAAGCAAGCAGTTCAGAGTTGCGACTTTCAGTTCTGACTGTCATTTTTGCTAGCACACTGGCCCTTTGTTTAGGCCGAATCAGGGAGATGCGGGATCCAAGATCCGCCCTGAGCTATTGCTAGGTGCACTCAAAGCTAAACCACCCTGAATGGTTAGACCATCTAATAACTGATAGTCGCTTCAGACTATCAGACTGATGGCCTTTGGACATTTGTTTGAAGAGCAGCTGAGCCGGTGTGCGGGAAGGACAGCACAGGAGAGGAGCAAGGTTCAGCCTCCAGCCTTGATTGTGAAATGTTTTGTCAGCAAAACAAGAGGCTTGCAAGTAATTGAGCCCACACCCTCCTTGAAGAAACTTGGAAAATATCTATTATTATTCACTAGAGCACAACCCTTCCCCCAGCCCCATGTCCACACACCACACACAGAGTTTCTTTGAGAAGAGTTCCAGAGTAAACCTTTGCTCCATTGCCTTACACTCCCAGTGATGTTTGTACGCCTCTGAGGGGAGCAGCCAAGGCAGTTTAGTCTGGATCTGGGTGGACTCTGTTGCCATTGGCTACCTCCTCCCCCACCAGAGGTCCTGCTTTCAGTGTAGACTCTGGTCCCTCACCCTCAGGAATCACATCACTTTAGCTTTCATCATCATCATGATCCCTTTATATGTGAACAGGTTGATTACTGGAAAAGTCGGAAAGCAGGACAGGGAGACCCTTTGAATTCCAGAAGAAAGGGGTACAGGGCTACTACTCAGAAAAAGAAGATGTCGAAAGGAGAAACCAGGCTGCCCCTTCACCTATTTCACAATTTTGCCCAAAAAAGTTGGCCCTGTCTAAGGTATTGCCACATAACTGAAATGACCATTTCCCAGTGTAGTTACATCATTAGGTTGTCATGCTCTTTATCTGACATACTCGTGTTTGCTGCCCAAGGGTGACTGTGTTTTCTCAATCCTGAATCAGGAATGTTGGTCATTGTCCAGACTACTTCTAAAAATTAAATTTTCCAGGGCAACTCTTGTCTTCCTCTGCAGAGTGTGGATTCTCACCAACCCCTTCAAGATCCTGTGGGACGCCCCATTGTGCACATATCAGGTCTTAAACATGCCACAGGGGAAGCCACATTTTGTGATGACATCCCCAGGGTGGATAAAGAACTTTTCATGGCTTTGGTGACCAGTACCAGGGCCCATGCAAAAATCATGTAAGTGAATGAAAAGCTTTCAAATAGCCTTTAAGCCCTGGCCAGTTTGGCTCAGCAGTTAGTGTCGGCCTGTGGTCCAGAGAGACCCGGGTTCAGTTCCCGCTAAGGGCACATACCTCGGTTGCAGTTTGTCCCCAGCCCTAGTTGGTCATGCGGTGGCAGCCCCTCGATGTGTCCCTTTCACATCGATGTTCCTCTCTCTCTCTCTCTCTCTCTCTCTATCTCTCCCTCCCACTCTACCTGAACAAAAAATGAAAAAATGTCCTCGGGTGAGGATAAAAAATATATATATAATTATGGGTCTCTTGCTTCTATTCTAACCTTATAGCACCTCATCTTTCTACTGCACCTTCAGGCAGGGCTCAAAGGAATGAGTAGAGCTGATATTCAGCTGGTGACAACATACTGAAATACTTCACTACTGAATGGTAAATAGCCACGTACTAAGTTTTCTAAGGATGCCCTTGCAACAGACACACTGGCCCATCCAACGGCTCCCCTCCCAGCAGGGGGCCTCCTGATCAGGGCCTAGCAGGACCAGTTGTTATATATTTTGATTTTCAACCATGCTCTATCCTTCCTTCAGGTTCGGAGCCCTCAAAGTTTGCTGATTTCGACACCTTAAATATTTCTTTTTTTTCAGATCAATTGATTTGTTCAAGGCCCTTGCACTACCTGGGGTGGTTGATGTGATAACAGCTGAAGACATTCCAGGCACCAATGGTACTAAAGACGACAAATTGTTGGCTGTAGATGAGGTACAGAATATGCCCTCCCAGATGACTTGTGTAGATAATCGTCAAGGTACCATCTCCAACTGGCTTCCCTTGGCCTCCCAGCCTTCTCTGCCATGGGGGAGTAGAGACGCCAGTTCTTCCCATTTCTTTCTATCACTAACGTCTTTATTCAGACAGACCTCCTCTTCTGGAGTCAGGAAATGACAGCCCTGGCCAGTTTGGCTCAGCGGTTAGAGGGTTGGCCTGCGGTCCAGAGAGACCAGGGTTCAGTTCCTGCTAAGGGCATGTACCTTGGTTGCAGTTTGTCCCCAGCCCTGGTTGGGTCATGCGGGTGGCAGCCACTCAATGTGTCCCTTTCATATTGATGTTTCTCTCTCTCTCCCTCCCACTCTATCTGAACAGAAAAATGCCCTCGGGTGAGGATTAAAAAAAAAAAAAAGGAAATGACATAATAAACAGAAAAGTTAGTACAGAAAAACACCAAGTTCTAGTTTCTCACTGTGTGCTCATGAGTCAATTTATCCTCATCTGAAAAATGTAGGAACTGACCTGTATCTGGATAGAATAGAAAGATCTAGAAAGGAAAGTCCAAAAACACAGCCACTCCCTGTTATTTTCACTGTACTCCTTCCTTCCCTGGATCAAGCCTACCCGCTGCACCTTCCGCTTACCTCATGCATTCCATTTTTTAAAAATTGCTCTTGCCATCTTTGACCTTTGACCAATTCAACAGTCATCCACTGAGCACCTGTTTCTGGAGCCAGGCTGTGCTGGTTCACGTTCCAGCTTTACCACTCACTAGCTGTGTGTCCTTGGTGTCCTCATCTACAAGATGAGAATAATCATAGCACCCACTTCACTGTGTTGTTGTGAGATTTAAATGAGTTGATAGATGTGAAGGGCTTACAACAGTGCTTGGCACACGAAGGGTCTCAGTGTTAGCTAAGATGGCCACATCTCAGTGAGTCCCACACAGACTGTTTCTCCTCTAACCATGGAATGAATCACTGTTCTTTTGGTTGAAATCCAGATGAAAAAGCTGGCTGTCATTTAGAAACTGTATTTTCTACTCGGGCTGACACCACAAAATACCACAGACTGAGTAGCTTAAAAAACAGAAATTTTTCCTCACAGTTCTGGAGGCTGAAAGTCCATGATCAGTGTGTTGGCAGGTTGGTTTCTCCTGAGGCCTTTCTTTCTGGTTTGCAAATAGCCGTCTTCTCCCTGCACCCTCATATGGTCTTTTGTCTGTGTGTGAACCTCCCTGGTTTCTCTTCCTCTTCTTATGAGGACATCAGTCCTATTGGACTAGAGCTCCACCTTTATGGCCTCATTTGACCTTAATTACCTCTTTAAAGGCCTTATCTCCAATACAGTCACATTGAGGGGTTAGGGCTTCAAGGCATGAAATGGGGGGGGGGGGGGGCGTATTCTACCAAAAATACTTTCCTTATCTTTAAATTCAAAAATGACACCATGAAGGTGATCTATGTGAACCTAATTTGACAGGACAGAGCAGATTCAAGTCACAGCCAATCTCACATTCACTCTGGAGCTTATATTCATTGAGTAAAATGGCCAATGAAAACATCTGTATTATTTAATTTATTTTTTAATTAAAAAAGAATTCAATGTTTTAGCCAAGCATATGAAGTTGAATGTAACTTCAGTGTGGCTTTAATTGCTCAACAATGACAACTAGAACACCAGCCTCTGGTAGGTTGAGCGAAGCCTACTCCTATCCAGAACTTTCTACCTGCTTCCTGCATGCACTTTCCGCAGGTACTTTGCGTGGGCCAGGTCATCTGTGCTGTGGTTGCAGAGACAGACGTACAGGCGAAGCGTGCAGTTGAAGAGATAAAGATCACCTATGAAGATCTGGAGCCCGCAATCTTCACCATCCAGGTAAGCTGACTGGTCTCTCGTAAGGTTGTAGAATTAAAAGTACTTTTATAAATATCTTAATATCATCCTTAGCAAGAAAGCAATGGCTTTAAAGCTATTGGAAAGTAAGAACGCAGAGGACAGGTGCCCTTCTGAAGTATGGAAAATAACCTTAGGTCTGAAGGTAAAGCTAGGATCAGCTATCGATAGGTCAGCCTACAGAACCTCAGAATGAGATGGCTCCCAGTCTCCATGTGTGAGTTAGTTCGTATTATGATCAGAAAGAAAACATAGAACAAAGAACTGGAAAAGCCCTGTGAGACATGCCAAATCTCAAAGAAATGAACAAACTTCCTCCAATGTCTATTGGGCTTTCTTGCACAGAAATGAATTAGCACTAGAATCTTCTCCCTCAACAAGACCTGTTCTTTCAGATCCCTGGGGTACATGCAGGTTCTTCTGTGTGAGCTACTTAAGTCTGACAACAGTGTTTTTCTCCAAGTAGAGGGGGAAAAGGGAGGGCCCAGAACCTCACCCATGCTGCATTTAGACCTGTCACTTGTTCCCTGGAGAGCCACAATGAAAATGAGAAATGAGTAGTTATCATCCTGGACCATCATAGTGCCTCCAGATCTCAATTCTTAACATTTCTCCTGCCCTTGTTGGTCTTCTCTGCAGTCTAGAAGACATTCTCTCCGGCATCTTGTCTCTGCAGCGAGCCCACTACCCTAGTACTTCCTTGCTTCCATGTCTCCTTTGATGTGTCCTAGAAAATGGCAATTTTCAGGGTTTACTGGCTTTTGATTGAGAAAAAACTTCCAGCGGAAGAAAAATGCAAAGAATTGACTTTATGGGATTTTTTCTGTCACTCAGGATGCCATAAAACACAGCTCATTCTTATGCCCTGAAAAAAAGCTTGAACAAGGAAACGTTGAGGAGGCATTTGAAAAAGTCGATCAAATTGTTCAAGGTAAGAGACTCGGAATATTTGATGGAATCTTCACAGGATTCTATTCTGAAGCAGACATCGAAAGCATGTGATTTCCTCTCTGAAAGACCAGCTTCCAAAGTCTTGGCACTTTGCCAAATTTCTCTTAGACCTCTTCTTTCCAAAGTGTGTGTGTGTGTGTGTGTGTGTGTGTGTGTGTGTGTGTGTGGTTGAGGGTGGGAGGTAGGGATCAGCAGAATAATTAAAAGAAACTCCTAAGATTGCAATGAGTCAAGGGCAGAGTGAGGAAGAAACCAGACACTTTCAACTTGTTATACAGAACTGTAGTCTCTGAAACAGACTGCCCTCGGATGGCACAGGACAAATGCCTGACCCATCAGTTCCATGGTCAGGACAAATCCAGGCTGGCCAGTCCATGTCTTGCTTGCTTTTGAATTCTCCAACATGACATTTTGCAACCAGCACACACCTTCAGGAATGTCCCTGTGCTTGCACTTAATAGGAGAGGTCCACGTTGGAGGACAGGAACACTTTTACATGGAAACACAAAGAGTGCTTGTCGTTCCAAAGACAGAGGACCGAGAACTGGACATCTATGTGTCGACACAGGACCCAGCCCATGTGCAGGTGAGGCCCAGGACTGCCCCACCTCTGTAACTTCCTAATTCTATCATGGCCTTCAATCCTCACAGCCTCAGAGGTGGCAGACATTTACTTAGAATACAAATATTGGACATCAGTAGAGAGCTATAACCTCAGAACTCTTTTTTTGGGGTGGGGGGGGCTTGTGCAATAAATGAAAGGACAGCCATGGTCATGGTCACTTTAGATTTAGAGAGTACATTCATTGGCAATATGCTTAAATAAACTCTGTGATTGGATGATACTAAGTTATATCTGTACTTTATTTTTCTCTAAAATAATTATTACAGTTGACCTTTGGAGTAAGCACCTCACTTTATAGCATATTTCCATTTCCCCAGTCACAAAGTACTCAAACTTTTAGCTGCAAACACATCTTTGTCGGCAGGTTATCGGGAGTTTGCTGTTTTTCACCTTGTTGGAACGTTAGATCGAGGCATTTGTCTAGGAGTTCAGCCTCTGAGCAGAATCCAGGACTCTGACAGTTTCCCTCTGGAAAAGGCCATTTTTCGGCTGGGAAGGCTGTTCTGTGACAATGACCCATGTTTAGGAACTCAGTGGTTCTCCACAAGACACATTCAGACTATGCTGCTCTTTTTTTTTGTTTTAACAGTAGATGTAGATGAATTTTGCTGTGACGTTGTGTTTCAGGGACCCAGTCTTCTTGGCCATTTCATTCTTGTAAAACTTTCCCGATATCTACCTTTCACAGAAAACGGTGTCTTCTGCTTTAAACATCCCAATCAACAGGATCACCTGTCATGTAAAACGAGTAGGTGGAGGTTTTGGTGGGAAAGTAGTAAAACCAGCTATATTTGGAGCTATTGCAGCTGTGGGAGCCGTCAAGTAAGTGTACTTGGGGATACAGAAGGGCATAAAATGTCAGAGCTGAGGGCCAGTCAGTGGCCTGATGGTCACTTGAGCTGCTGTCATAACCACCTGTCCTTGGGCAACTCAGCCTTCTGTCTCTTTTTCTTTTAAATTGTAGATATAATACCTATCCTGGTAGAGTTATTAGAAAAGTTATATGTAGATAGGACTTTGAATATGCTAATTCCTTATAAAAAGGAAAAGTGGTATTATTACTTGAATACATCCAGAGCCAGGGCTGCCCTATCCCTGAGCTCCAGAGAAGGTGCCCCATTTAAAGGGTGGGGCAAGTAACCATCCCGAATGGAGTGTCAAGGGTGAGAATGCCCCCTCACTTCTCCTTCCTACTCTCAGCTGCAGACAGGGTGGGGTGAGGAAAGAAAAACTCTGCCTCCCTGCACCTGGGAAGGGCTGGCTTTTCCATGTGTGCTCAGTTGACAGATGACATCCTCAAAGAGAGCTCCCGGATTAGCCTCAGTGGAAGGCTCACTCTTCGCTATTCCTGCTGTGCATGGTGCTGGCTTTTCTGTTCCTTGTTCGTGTGTGTGTGTGTGTGTGTGTGTGTGTGTGTGTGTGTGTGTTACTTTGTCAGTGCTCCAATCAGCCTGTAAACATCATATTCCAGCTTCCTTTAGCAACTTCTGTATAGTTCAGAGCTAGGTCCCAAGACACTCAGATATGTGTCTCCTTCTGCAATAGTAGGAAAAAGCAGGATCTGAATTTCATCTCCAGCTCTTTTCATAATGAACCTCTCTCTAGTCACACCCACCAGGGACCCAGCAAGAAATAATCAGGCTTTGTTCTTTTAAGACGTCTCAAACACAACTGCACACTAGAATCATCTTGGGAGCATTGAAATCAAATAGCCTAGGATGCCCCATACTGACCCAACCACCATTATTTTTAAAACTTTCCTCCCTGGCTGGGTGGCTCAGGTGGTTGGAGCATCCTCCTGTACACCAAAAGACTGCATGTTCGATTCCTGGTCAGGACTCATACTTAGGTTGTAGGTTCTGTCCATGGTCAGGGCATGTATGGGAGGGAATCAATCTCTCTCTCTCTTTCTCTCTCTCTCTCTCTCAAATCAATAAACATTTTTTGAGATAATCTTCCCGGTGGTTCTTCTGTGTAGCCAAGTATAGGAAACACCACCTTCAGCCACAACCCTGCCTTAACATACACCTGCCTTGTGTTAAGTGGTCCCTAAAGCAGTGTTCCAAAATTGTTGATAATAAGTCTCCTTGGCCCATAGAAATTCCTGCCTCCCCATCTCAGACCCACTGAATCAAAATCACCGGGGAATGAACCCAGAAACTGAATAGTAACTGATGCTCCAGGTGGTCCTCACTATTAAAGAAGACCAGGAAACCCTGCATGGTTCTCAACATGTACTTGAAGACACTTGCATCAGAATTGCTGAGGAAAATGCAGATTCTAGCCCCGCCCCCAATCTAAGAGACCTAGTGCTAAGGTTCAGGAATCTGCATTTTCACCAGCTCTCCAGAGGATCCTTCTGCACTCAAAGTCTGGGAACCTCTGCCCCTGAGATACAGAAAGCCTGAAGCTCCTAGCTACCCAAGGGCCCACCTCAGCCAACATTGTAGCCACCATGGGTGAATATGAAGATCCAGATCCACACATCCTAAGATGAGTGTGGACCTTTGTTTGCAGTTGTGTTGTTAAGTTTGCATTTATCTGTTCACACACTTTCTCCTTTGTTACTAGTGGTGGGGATATGCAAAAATGGGCCGGATGGGGATGATTGTCAAATTTAAAGCCATAACAACACAAGTTAGGTGCCATGTGCCATTAATCACTTTAGCTAGATCTGAATTATAGACCACAGAGACCAGAGCAATTTAGTCATACATTAATTCAGATCAATGCCTAGCACAGTATATGCACTCAATGAATATATATGGAATGGATGGATGGTTAAATGAATGGTTGGATAAAATAGGTAGGAGGGTGGATGGGGGATGGGTGGGTAACAAGATGGATGGGTGGGTGGATAGTTAAATGAGGGGGTGGATAAATAGATGGATGCACACTAGGTGAGTAGATGTGTGGGTGGGTGGGATGGAGAATCTGACTAAGATTTATTGTCTTTAGAACTGGTCACCCTATTCGTCTTGTTCTTGATCGGGAAGATGACATGTTAATAACTGGGGGAAGACACCCATTATTTGGAAAATATAAAGTGAGTATTAAAGATAAAATTGTTGCCCTGGCCGGTTTGGCTCAGCGGTTAGAGCGTCGGCCTGCGGTCCCGAGAGACCCAGGTTCGGTTCCCGCTAAGGGCACGTACCTCGGTTGCAGTTTGTCCCCAGCCCTGGTCGGTCGTGCGGGTGGCAGCCACTCAATGTGTTCCTTTCACATCGATGTTTCTCTCTCTCTCTCTGTTCCTCTCTCTCCCTCCCACTCTACCTGGGCAAAAAATGGAAAAATGTCCTCGGGTGAGGATAAAAAAAAAAAAAAAGATAAAATTGTTAAAATTTGAATGGCTTTATTTTTTTTATTATTTGATTTTTATTCTTTTCTATTATTTTGATTTTTTTGAATTCTGAAAACAATAATCTTAGCATCTAAAATAGTCGATGAGGATTCTGTGTATTTGAATACTTATAACATTTTTATGAAGAACTTTTAATAAATCTAGCATAGAATTATGAAATTGAATAATACATGATTTAAAACACTATTGAAGGAATAAGGATTGACACTAGTATTTCCTCGATAACAAAAAAAACCTGAAAGAAGCTACAGACATTGTTATACCAAAACTTCACTTTACACATGTTTCCATTAAATGTTTATGAAAATGTCACAAAGTTCTTTGTAAATAGGAAAAGTAATTCACTAACAAGTAAAATAATTTTAAATCGTTTCAAACCACATTTATTACATTTTTATGCAACAGTAGCATAAACACTATTAAAAATACTTGTTAAGCTGGCCAGTGTGGCTCAGTAGATTGAGCATCATCCCATGGACAAAGAGGTCCCAGTTTGATTTCCAGTCAGGGCACATGCCTGGGTTGTGGGCTTGATCCCCAGTGGGGGGCGTGCAAGAGGCAGCTGATGGATGTTTCTCTCTCTTTCTCCCTTCCTCTCTCTAAAATATCAATAAAAACATATTAAAAATAAAATAATAAAAATAAAAATACTTATTGAGCCCTGGCTGGAGTTGCTCAGTGGTCAGAGCATCAACCTGTGGACCAAAGGGTCAAGGGTTCGATCCCCATCCCTGGTTGGGGCATATGTGAGAGGCAACCAATCGATGTCTCTCTCTCGCTCTCTCTTTCACTCTCTCTCTCTACCTCCTCCCACTCCCTCCACTCTCTCTAAAAATCAATGGGAAAATATCCTCGGGTGAGGATTAAAATAAAATAAAATACTTGTTGACATCTAGTTGACAACAATACTACTTTTCAAATTTGTGACTGAGTTCTTAGGATAGTTCTAATGTAGTGTTTCCCTATCAAATATGCTTTATTTGAGACTTATTACTAAAGCTATGGCCTTCCATGCCACAGCACAATTTTATTTCTTCCATTAGCATTAGTAATTTTTATTATCAGAGAGGAATAAACCATAGCTGGCAATTAAACTTTGTATTTATCTTCAAATGCACAAAAATTAATACAGATAGTATTATCGTCTAGTACCAAAAGCAACAAAGAAGCACATTCTGGAATTGTGGCAGTTGGTATTATGGTAGTTGCTGAGTTCTTTGGTTTTGGCCTAGATTATAAATCAGGATCTATTTATATTATAGTTATGAGACTGTTTTAGTACTAGTACTTATTAATAAGATTAACAGTAATATAAAATATAATTAAAAAGAGGAAGATAATCAGACTTTTTAAAAAATCCAATTTTTATTTTGTTTTTAAAGAAATATAATTTTACTTCCAATATAATAACGTGTGTATACATGCATGTATATAACCTCATTCAAACTTAGCTGACAAAGTTTTGCTTGTTTATTTGGAACTATTTGTAAATTAGTATAATAGACATGTATGTGTGATGAGCTTTTCCAAAATTCTTTAAAAATCTCTATTAAACACCTTAGGAATTCTCTCTGTATCTTTGCCTGGCAATGCTTTCTTCATGAAAAGTGAAAGGTAAAGTGCAGCCTAGCCTTTGTCAAAATTATCTTACTTTCTGAATTTGTGGATTTTCCCACATGCCCTAACTGCTCCGGTTTGTTATCCAACATTTCTCTTGGAGTAGATGATATTAGCCATATAGGCATATGATTCCATCAGTTGTTATTTATCCCCGTTTTAAGAAACACAGACACCAGAGCCCATCTTTTTGGGAGAGCTGCAACAGGGAGTGGGAATTTTCTTTCCAATCTGGGCTCTGCAGACAAACCAGTCAAGGTGGTGGGGGCGGAGTGGCAACCTGAGAAAAATGCCAGGTGCCTCTGTGAGTCCCAGTAAGAACCACAGCCCCAGCTCCATGCGTTAGGTCCGTAACCAATTACAAAGCGCTTCACAGCTCGGCACAGTGAGAGCCGTCAGTCCAGGGTCCATGTCCAACGTCGGTTTCTGGAGTTTTCCTGTAACAAGATGCACTGCCATTCATTCCAACACACTCAGGAATTCCAGAGACCTTTCCACAGCAGGGAGACCACAGTCTAAATTAGAAGGAATAACCAGTAAAAAGTGAAGGAGAGTCTTCCAAGAATAAGAAAGAAGAGGGTAGCAATTATATGTCTGGAGGTAAGCAAAGACTTTAGAATTTCATACTGATCGTGAAGCCAGAAAATTACATGTTAAAAGGAAAGGGCTCAGCAAAATTCAGGTCAGAGGAGGCCTTTGTCAGCCAAGTACTGCAAAACAAGGGAATAGGTGGGCTCGGGACACCACCGAGTAGACAGGAGCACAGTCTATCGTCAGTCCTGCCCAACAGTGGAACTGGGCTGCGGTTCCCACTTGGCATGAAAGTTCTAATCATATAAAATGTCCATCATTTGATGACAGGTGGGATTCATGAACAACGGGCGAATCAAAGCTCTAGACATTGAGTGCTTCATAAACGGAGGCTGCGCCCTAGACGACTCTGAGCAGGTATGTGCCTCAGAAACCAGTGCCCTTGTTCGTGAATAGAATGCAGAATTCCCAGATGAGTCTTTACTGAACGCATTCCCTCAAGTACTTACCAAGTTCCACCGCAGCTTGACTCTGTGTTCTTGACTTTTTGAGAAAAGAACAAACTGTTGTCCAATATATGTGAATATCTTCTATTAATTTAGGTAATAGAATTTCTTATACTAAAGCTGGAAAATGCATATAAAATCCGAAACCTCAGGTTCCGGGGCCGTGCATGTATGACCAATTTACCATCCAATACGGCCTTTCGAGGATTTGGCTTCCCACAAGGAACCCTAGTAACAGAATCCTGCATCACAGCTGTGGCAGCTAAATGTGGACTTCTGCCAGAAAAGGTAAGGTTGTAATCAAGGTCACAACCAAGATTGCTGAAGAGTCACTGAGGGGGGTACCAGCTACCCAGGGAAATACCAAGAACCACTCAAATTACCTCTGGTTCAAAATTTAAAATACATTCAGTGCTACCTAAAAGAATTCACCTCCCTCCCCTTATCTTCCAGCCTTCTTGTGCAAAGATTTATCTTTTTCCTTCTTTTTTAAATTTATACAAAGAGAATTACTCTTTTTAAAACTCAAACCCCACTGAAGTAATTAAAGAATGAATCCCCTCCTCCCAATTGATTTTTTATCCCCTCCTCCCTATTGATTGAGGGTAGCCATTGTTAACAGTTCCATATTCATCGTTCTAGCCTTTTCTCTGTGGGTGTCCACCCAACTGTATTCACGCATATGCATAAACATTGCCATATGTTTATACATGCACATATATAGTCATTTACCAAAATGGGAGCATAATAAACACATTACTCTGCACTTTACCTTTTCTACTTAATAATAGGCCATGGCCATCTTCCAGTGGTAATACAATGATCTACTTCCTTTTTTTTAATCCTTACCCAAGGACATTTTTCCATTTTTTGTTCAGATAGAGTGGGAGGGAGAGAGAGGAAGAGAGAGAGACAGAGAAACATCTACGTGAAAGGGACACATCGAGTGGCTGCCACCCGCACGACCAATCAGGGCCGGGGACAAACTGCAACCGAGGTACGTGCCCTTAGCGGGAACCGAACCCGGGTCTCTCTGGACCACAGGCCGACGCTCTAACCGCTGAGCCAAACCGGCCAGGGCTACTTCCTTCTTTTTCATGACTAAATAGTGCTATGTGACATGGATATGCCATAATTTATTCAGCCATTCCACAATCAGTACACATTCAGCTTGTTACCCATTTTTGGCTATTAAAATGATGTTGCAATAAACATCTTGGGACAGGTGTACCAAGGGTATATCTTTGCTCTCTTATGTAGAGGGTAAATTTACAGAAGTGAAGTGGCTAGTGAAAACTTTTGGGAGATACTGCCAAAAGAATGCTCTCCAAAAATATTATCGTGTGCAACATCCTAGAAGATGCACAGTATGTACAATATGCTCGTCCAGACAGGAAGCCACTGGCAGCTGAGGTCATTGTTGATGACACTTTCTGCTCCTCATAGCTTCTGATCAAACCCCAGCCTATTTTTTACATTTCGACCCTGTTTCCTCGATATAGACCCTCTGCTCCAGCAAGGACCCTCTATGTATTGTCCTTTGAAACTCTTTGATCCTAAATTCAACAGGGAGGACCACGAGATTGTGATTTGTGATTGTCAGGGTACTTCCTACATCCAAAGGAACAGCTAAATATGGAACAAGGGAGACAATAATTATCCTAAGAGAAGTCACATCAACTGTTCTACAGGCCCAAAGGAAGACGCCATCACATGGGTTTGGCAGGAGGGAAGTCAGGAAGAACATTCTGGAGAAGCAGGCACTTGAGATAGGCCTTGAAGAATGACAGGCACAGATAATGGAAAGGCAGTTGAAGCAAATGGAACAGCTTGAACAAGGAGAAGCACCCTCTTCATGGCTCAGTTTCCTTATCTATAAAATGAGGACAAGCCCTGGCCGGTCTGGTTCAGCAGTCACCGGGTCGGTCTGCAGACCAATGAGTCACGGGTTCGATTCTGGTCAAGGGCACGTACCTCAGTTGCAATTCATCCCTGGCCCTGGTCGGGGTTGTGTGGGAGGCAACCAGTTGATGTGTCTCTCACATCGATATTTCTCTCTCTCCCCCTCTTTCTCTCTCCCTCCCACTCTATCTGAACAAAAATGGAGCCCTGGCTGGTTTGGCTCAGAGATCAGAGTGTCAGCCTGCAGTCCACAGAGACTCGGGTTCAGTTCCCGCTAACGGCATGTACCTCGGTTGCAGTTTGTCCTCTGCCCTGGTTGGGTCCTGTGGGTGGCGGCCATTCGATGTGTCCCTTTCACATTGATGTTTCTCTCTCTCTCCCTCTCTCTCCTTCCCGCTCTATCTGAATGGAAAAAAAAAAAAGGAAAAACATCCTTGGGTGAAGATTAAAAAAATAAAATGCAATGATAATACAAATAAAAACAAAAAATAAAATGAGGACAATATGATTTACTTCACAGAGTTCCTGCAAGAACCAAATAAGTTAGCATTTGTTAAAATATTTGTTTTTATAAACTGGATAGTGTTAGTACAATATTGCAGCTGATAATAATAGTTATTTTTTGTTATTGGGGTGAGATAGGAATAATGGAAAACTCCTGAGCATATCTCAGTGGATTCCCCGTCTTTGCCACGTGTTGCAGGCTTCTAAGACATTAGACCCATATTCAGATACATTTTCAAAAAGACTTGACCTGTTGAGGTAAGAAACGTCCAAACCTGTAGTAAAGTAAGAGTTTATTTGAGCCAAACTGATGATGTACCAGGGAGCAAGATCTCAAGTGCTCTGAAGAATAACAGTTTGGCAGCTTCTTTTATGCATTTGAGATTAAGAGGGAATGTAAGGAAGAGTCCATGGAGGTAGGAAAAGCAAGGCAGGAATTGGATTTCAAGACAATTAACAAGATTATTGCTCTCTTGCGGGTCATTGCAGCTTATTTCAACCTAGATGCACAGAAACAATGGACAGGACCTGCTTAAGGCAAAGATAAACCTTTTACTAAAAAGTTATATCCCTGGGGTGTGACGACCCACCCTGACCTTCCCAGTTAGGAATCTACGGTCAGATCACCCTGTGAGGTTACTTTCCATAGAATCCTTTTTTTTCATCCACAGACCACATAGTCCAAAAGCCCCTGGAAGACTTAGAGGAGATCTATTTGTCATTGGCTGCAACGCTATTCCTCTCTAGCAGAACAAAATTTCAGTTGTGAAAATAAACCCTTGCTTTTATGTACTATCTACCAACTCTGCTCCATCTCTGAACCTTGTAGGAAAAAAAGGAAACCCGCCTCCCTAGACTCCTTCATCCCATTGCCCATCATACACCAGTCACTATCGTTACCCTCCACTTTCAGGAGGGAGAGACCCTGACTGGTGCTTTGAAGAAGAGATGAGAAATAACCTCTATCATTTTTGCAAAAGCACATGCAGTTCAAAAAAAAGGAAGAAAGACCCTGTCTTCTCCCCACCAAAGTTTGTGCTTTCATGGGGAGGCTTTTTCAAGTCTCTATTTTGCAGTCCGTTTAACGGTTGACTCAGTTTTCCACTCATTTCAGGTTAGGAAGAAAAACATGTACAAAACTGTTGATAAAACCATCTACAAACAGGCGTTCAGCCCTGAGACCCTGATAAGATGTTGGGACGAATGTCTGGACAAGTCTTCCTTTCACAGCAGAAGAAAGCAAGTGGAAGAGTTTAACAAGAAGAATTACTGGAAGAAGAAGGGCATTGCTATTATCCCCATGAAGTTTTCAGTGGGCTTTGCTGCAACAAGCTATCATCAGGTGAGTTCCTATATGTGATACATCCCTCTCCTGTCAGACACACTGCCGGCCCAATTAGCTTGTGTTGACTTTGGGAGAGAGTCACATTTCCCAGGGCACTGAGCCCCTCCCCCTAGCCCCTGGGAGAAATGTGCAGAACTCTCCTGAGCAGCACCCATTGGCAAGCACTTTCACCACAGTGAGGGAGCAACATGCCTCCGTGGCAGAAAGCAGCATCAGCAAGCACGGGGCCTGCAGCTGCGTCACTGCCAAGATGAGCACTGACCACCCACTGAACCCCTGTTCCAAAAGGGAACGGGAGCGCACGAGGCCTGTGGGGCTGTGCTTTCTGAGCTCGAGGGTCTCAAGGCATGGGCAGAACTAGGGCTGCGCCTGATCTGTGCCCCAGACCCCACAACGCCCCTTGCTGCACCCTAAATCTTAGGCAGAGAAGTCATTCCATGTTGCTCTGACCAGCTATTTGTTTCAAGCCACCGCTACCAGGAATCTGTGTGAATTCCAATGGGGAAGTGGGGTGGGGCCCAGAAAGCCTCCCAGGTAGATTTGCAAAAGGAAGAGGCAAGTCATTCAGAGGCCCTCTCCAGAAGGGCGGAGGAAGAGCAGCACACAGATGAGTCCATTAAATAGCACAAGGACGCGTACTGATGCATCTTCCCAGCAACCCCAGTGAGCTATATACAGGAAAGCTGTTTAGAAAACTGGGAAAGATTGTTGCCTCCCATGATCGTCCACCAAAAGCAGGAAAATCCTACATGCATTAGATCTAAATATAAATCTAAAAATGCATTAGATCTCCCTTGTGTGTATACTATTGAAAGTATTCTTCCACTGACACCCAACTAATGGCAGCCAATAGACACACATACACACACACACCACAAAAGCTGCCCTGTCAAAGGAAATCTTTCTTAGGCATAAAGCAATTGGCCCAAATTGCTATCCCTAATCAACTGGAATCAGGCAGACCCAAGAAATCCATGGCAACTTACTGGCTGTGTGGTATTAAGTAAGTTATTTAACCTCTCTGAGCCTCAGCTTCCCCAATTATGAACTGAGAATGACAATCCTCTTTCTTAGGACTGATGAGGATTCAATGAGATGATGACTATAAAGCACTTGGCAGGGTTCCTGGAACACCGCATAGTCATCCAGGGCAGCCCAGCCCATCCCCAGGAGATCTGACACACCTCTGGGGGCTGTGGCTCCTCTGGCAGTAGGATGAGACTCCCCGACTCCTGGGTCACACTCCTGTTCAAGTCCAACGTGCCCGTTCTATAAAGGGGTGCAAGAAAGTTAACTGTCACGTCTACAACCTCGGCTGAATCAACAGCTGGGGCATAAGAGATCCTGGATGGTCACCTGTATGGTTTTTCCTCTGACACCCAATGCTGTGTCTTTACTACACCAGTTCTCCAACACCAACTGGGTGTCCAACAACTTAACTCCGTTCTGACACCAACTACCCAGAGTCAGTGCAGACCCCGCAGGTCAAGGGCTGAGTCCCACAAGGCTGCCCCAGCTTCAGATGATAGCACAATGGGGTGCCCAGGCTCCCAGCACTTCTGCCCAGCCAACTACCAATCTGAGGGTTTCTACTACCCACCCCCTTGGGTTCGAAAATTCACTAAATCAACTCACAGAACTCAGGAAAGCGCTTTGCTTGTGATTACTACGAATTTATGATAAGTGATCCAACCCCAAAACAACCACATGGAAGAGCTTCGTGGGAGAAGGGCTGAGGCTGTCACATCCTCTCCCTCCAGCCCTGCGGCCCCCCAACTCGCGTTGTGTTCACTAACCCGGAAGCTCCCAGGACCCCGTCGTTTGGGGTTTTTAGGAAATTTCATCACATAGTTACATTGATTAAATCATTGCCATTGGGGACTGAAATCAATCCCCAGTCTCTCACACCAACCTGGGGGTCAGGGACTCTCCAAGGATTGGTTTTTCTGGCAACCATCCCCTCCAGCGATCTAGCCCGCCCCCCCCCAAGAGTCATCTCATTAGCATACAAAGGGCAGTAAACTCCATGGGTTTTAGGAACTCTGCCGAAAACCAGGGGCAAAGACCACATATTTATTTTTTATTATACCACAGCTCCCCTCACCTTTATGGCTGCCCCTCACCTAAACCACAGCCTAGTTTCTGCCAACTTCTCATCTCACCACAAAAACTTCTTTAAATCAAGCATAAGCCTCCACTTGAAAGGCCTCCCCCTTCCCCACAGAGTTCCAAACTAATGCACTCAAGAAGCACGAGGCTAGGAGCTGAAACATGTCATTCCAGGTCAGCTGATGACTCACAAAGCTGGAACACCTACTCCCCGAACTAGTATGAGAAGCACTGTCCTCACAGGGAGTCAAGAAGGCCCACAGCGAATAAATACCATTATTAGAACCTACAAGCCTTGAGGCCCCGGAATCCCTCCAAGCCATCTCTCTCCCTCCCCCACCCGTCCCCCTTACCCCCTCCTGGAAGGAAAAAATACCGCATCTCCAGTCATCCGGTTTAACAAGCATTTATCTAGTGTCTCCATGACTCAGACCTGCTCAAAGTTCTCTTCAGGACACAAAGATGAGAAAGACTGGGTGCCCTTCCTCTGGGAGACTCTCACAGAAGACTTGTCACCCCCTGTATTCGTTTCCTGTGGCTGCAGTAACAAAATACCACAAATTGAGTGGCTTCAAACAACAGATGTATTCTCTCACAGTTCTGGAGGCTAGAAGTTCAAGGTGTTAGCAGTGCTGTGCTCCTTCATGAAGCTCCACGGAAGAATCCTGTCTTGCCTCATCTTAACTAATTACATCTGCCAAACGTATTTACAAATAAGGCTACCTTCTGATGTTCTAGATGGACAGGAATTTGCAGGGGACACTGTTTAACTCAGTACACCCCTGTAAGAGGAAGCACAGAGAAGAGGGTAATTGATCCTTCCCAGGGGGGAATGAGGAGTGCTCACAGAAGTTTCAACAGAATAGAGACCGTGGGGTGTGGGTCTGAAGGCTGGGAGCAAGCAGGAAGAGAACAACATACCCAAGAGCACAGGTCAGGAAGGAGCAGCGGTAATGCCAGATGTAGAAACAAGGCAGGCCCAGCCAGTGTGGCTCAGTGGTTAAGCGTTGACCCAGGCACCAAGAGGTCGGGGGTTCGATTCCCGGTCAGGGCACATGCCCACGTTGTGGGCTCAATCCCCAGTAGGGGGCATGCAGGAGTCAGCCAGTCAATGGTCTCTCTCATCAATATTTCCATTTCTTCCTACCTCTCCCTTCCTCTCTCTCTCAAAATCAATTTTAAAAATGTTTAAAAGAAAAAGAAGCAAGGCAAGAAGACAGGGATGAAACTGGAAAAGTACAAGAAACCAGATCCCAAAGGGCTCTCCCTTACAGACAATGGGGAGTGTTTGCCCACCTTGCCCAGTTGGCACACTGTTCTCCCCTTCATGATCCCATCCACTGAGGAACTCTCCCTGGCTCTGCCGAAGCAGCTGATCTGCCCTCCCAGGCCTCCAGGGCCCCTCATGGCAACTGTTTATCTCACAAATCATTCCTCATTGTAATGACTTGCTTGTGAGCGACTTGAGAAATAAACACATCTGTTCCTCTTCATATATCTAGACTGAGCCCAGGCTGGGACATAACACGTGCAAGTACCTACAAATATTTAAGTCACTACCTGAGTGGTTTGCCAGAGATTTTAATCAGGGGAGTGACTTTCAAATACTTGCAACCAATATCCCAAGAGACTCCTACTAAAACCAGGTTCCTAAGAATGTCTTTACAGATGACTTTTGCACAAAACAGAACTAAGCCTCAGAATCCTACCAGGAAAGCTTGCCACTGAACCCTCCCAGCCCCCTACCCCGGGAGACTGGCGTTTCACTACCTGGTTTCTTACCTTGAACCTCACTAAACTTGCACTGAGCTGAGCCTTCTGGGTCGGTTGTTTTTCTAGGCAGCTGCACTTGTTCATATCTACACAGATGGGTCTGTATTGGTCACACATGGAGGCAATGAACTGGGCCAAGGTATTCACACCAAAATGCTACAGGTAAGATTTAAAAAAAAAAAAATGAAATCATTAATCTCTCTATTCATTGTTGACATGACTGACATTCAGCACTAATTTTAGGGTAAGGAACAACTTCCTGAGCTCAAATTCTAAGATCTTGACTATTTAGTTGAAAACTTCTCACATATCAAATAGAATTGTTACAGAATAGAGAGAAGCTAGAAAAATTTCAAGGCGGGAAGAATAGGGAAACTGAGACAAGAAAATTAAACAGTCCAAACAGTTTGGCAGCCAGCTTGTAAAGAGCAAGTCCTTAATCCCCCCGGCCAAGGATGCTTGAGAGCAAATGGTAATGTCTCTCCAAAGAATGCAGGAGAGGAGGGGGAAGGAAGAGAGAGAGGAAGAGGAACCTTAATGCGGCCAGAGAATACATAGCGTAAATCACCCTAAAACGAACTAAAAGACAGCAGAGAGGAGGGAGGAGGTTGGGAAGGAAGAGTACAGTCCTATCTCATCCCACTGTTTAAACAGAGAAGCCATCAGTCTCGGGATTTAATTGCCAGGTGCGTTTCATAAATTCTGGGGAAGCCATAACAAAGTAAAATGGAGAAAGACTTTCAGAGTTAACCTGTACCAAGATATCTAGCAGAGAAAATTTTAAATCTATAGACAGAAAAGTATATAAGGCAAGCCCCCCACCAAACCCCCTGATAGCACTTGCTCTTCATATGACCTGAGAGTTCATCCCTGCTTCATGCCAGATGATAGATGGGCTTGCATGCTTTACTTTCTTAATAAATTCGAGTTAATACAACACATTTATCTGGAATCACACTCATTTAAATTCATTCCTACGAGAAGACAAGAACAGAGAGGATGGCCCTCTCCTTCCGACTCAGAGGGCTGTCCTGTAACACCTCTCTGGTGTCTGTGAGTGGTGCCTGCAAGGGAATGGCTCAGGTGGCAGAAATCTCACACATGTGCAGTACTCCTGAAGCTTGGCCAGGGTTCATGGATGGAGGTGGTTGTTAGTGAAAACACCAGTAATGAGCCCTGGGGCGCCCTGGTAGGTGTGCCATGTAGGCTTACCTAGCATAGGAGTTTCTCAGCTTTCCATATAGTTCTGAAGGACTCCTCAATTCTGGTGGCTTTCAGCCCTACCCCCTCCTGTTAACTGGTACAAGGTTCATGTGCCAGGATGCTTTTTTTTTTTTTTTAAAAAAAAAAAAGGCCAATAGTCAAAAATGTCAGAGTTTTGTTTTGTTTTGTTTTGTTTATCCTCAATGAAGGATATTTTTCCATTGATTTTAAGAGAGCATGGAAGGGAAAGAGGAGGGGGAGAGAGAAAGAGAGAAACATTGATGTGAGGATGGCACATTGATTGGTTGCATCCTGCACGTATGAGGCTGGAGATCAAACCTGCATCCCAGATGTGTGCCCTTGACAGGGAATTGAACCTGTGATCCTTTGGTGTACGGCCAACGCTCTAACCACTGCAACACCTGCCAGGGCTAAAAAAAAGTCAGAGTTTGAAGTAAAGAAAGGTGTATTGATCGAGAAGGCCCAGCTCAAGAAGATGGAGGTGCCTTATAGCTTCTGTAAATTCATCTTTTTTTTTCTTTTTTTTTTTTTATTATTCTTTATTATGCATCTTAAGAGAGCCCAGCCCTGGCCGGTTTGGCTCAGTGGTTAGAGCGTTTGCCGGCGGTCCCGAGAGACCCGGGTTCGGTTCCCGCTAAGGGCATGTACCTCGGTTGCAGTTTGTCCCCAGCCCTGGTTGGGTTGTGTGGGTGGCAGCCACTCTATGTGTCCCTTTCACGTCGATGTTTCTCTCTCTCTCTCTCTCCCTCCCACTCTATCTGAAAAAAATATTGAAAAATGTCCTCAGGTGAGGATAAAAAGAAAAGAGAGAGAGAGAGAGAGCACCCAGAATTCAGGCATGTTTTTTGTCATCAAGGGAAGAGAGGAGGGGTGCAGTCTCTGTCCCTGGGAGACGCTCAACCACTGAGCCACAGTGGCCGGGCTGGCAACTCCTTTAAATCTTTTTTTAATCCACTAAGACCATATTGTATTCTCTCCTTATTATTATTACCTATCAAGGAAATGGCCGTGGAGATGCCTGTCACGAATAGGTTGGCCCCGTAGCTGCCTCTCGTGATGCTGGCTGCCTCTCAGTAGTGCCCGCCAGGAAGCTATGTCTGGCATGGCAGCTGCCTGTTGCAATGTAACCCGACGAGGTAGCTCCCTGGCGTGTTATTGTCCCAGCCTGTCGCTGCATGTAACAACTTTTAGGCTTTAAAGGCTATCCTAAACATAATACAAATAATAATGTTATTAAGAAAAATAATGTCTCAGATCTTCATAGAACCCCTTGCTGAATTTTAAAATCTTTTTCTCATAGGTGGCCAGCCGTGAATTAAAACTACCCATGTCTTACATGCACATCTGTGAAACAAGCACAGCCCTGGTCCCTAATACCATCGCCACAGCAGCTTCCATCGGGTCAGACGTCAACGGCAGAGCCGTGCAGGTATCTCCCCCGTCTCTCTTCCCGTGGGTACTTTTACCCCATCTCTGGTTTTCTTAGCTGGAGACAGCCACAAGTGGCTGGCTCAGAGAAGTCATCTGTGTCACTAAACACAGGCTTAAGATAATCAAAATGTCAGGAGAGTGTGTTAGTTAGGGTAGGCTAAACTGAGGTGACAGCTAGACCCAGAGCATAATGTCTGAAACATAACAAAGTCCCTTTTTGTACACTTCAGAGTCCAGAGAGAGTGTTTGGTCATTCGGGCACCCAGATGGATGGCAATTCCTCCATCTCCAACATGTGACTTTCAGAGTTGCCCAGAGTATCATCCGCCAATGAGCCAAGAGGGAGAGAGCATGGAGGCCAGACCTGGCCATGATGCAAGTCCCTTCCACTCGTCACGGCTAGCAGGGCCAGTCTCAGGCCACGGCTGACAGGTTGGGAGAATGTAGAGCAGCGGGAAACCATAGGCCCAGCAGCTGTGGAAGAAGGGGAGCATGGGTTTTGGTGCCCAGGCAGTGTCTGTCCCTGGGAGACACAGAAAGAAGAAAGCTGGGTACCACGCAATGCAGAGCTGTGCGAGTTTCCCTGACACAAATACGTTCTCGTTGGCAAGTAGGCTGACAGAACCCCCGCCAGACAGACAGGGTACAATTAACGTGTCTACCTCAGTGGACTTCTACCACAGGACTCATCCCCTTTGTTTGTACTTATTTGCTGACCCATGTTTTAAAAAAAAAATTGTTAATTTTTATCTTTTCGGAATAGAACCGTGACTTCATATTCCTTTATTCAAATATCTGATTGCATGTACTTTTGGACTAATATCTATTTGCCACGTTTCTGTTATAAACCATCCACTTTTTCCACTGGAATTTTGTGAGGAGTCATTTCCCCCCACTTCCGGGACACTACACTTAAGCTACCAAGAGGAACCACTTTTTTTTTTTGGTATGTGCCCCTAGCGGGAACTGAACCTGGGACTCTCTGGTCCACAGGCTGACACTCCAACTACTGAGCCAAACCAGCCAGGGCCAAGAAGAACCACTTTTAGATCCATTTTATCTGTGTGAGGACACCCTTAGGGGCTCAAAGACCAGAGACAATTTTTACTCAGAACAAATGTGTGGGAAACACACAAATTCATGAGATCCAGTTTTGGGTAGAATCAAACACCAGCTATGAGTAGCTCAGTGTGTATTAACTAAGTGTTCCTTCACTTTGTAGGACAACGATTTCACCAGTGTGCCGCAAGATTTTTTAGGACATACAATTCCTGACTATTTACTCAGGGGCACTGACCTCTTTTCCCTTAGACTGTCAAATTTTAAAATGACAACAGCCGACACAGCAATGGCTGTCCAGTGTGAATGAATCAAAATTATACCTATTTTTTTGTCGTATCTGCAAAAAGTATATATTTTTGGTTTGCAACAGAATTTTAGTAATTAGTTTAAGTGTGCCATAAGATGAAAAAGGTTGAAAATCACTGTTCTAGGACAGTGAGTTTTAGGTTTCAGTTTTGAGTATCAGAAACTTTGTAGATCAGGTTATTATAAAAAAACAAACTTTATTTTTTCACTTCACACCCAAAGCAACAGCCACCATTGCAGTACTTTGATGGCAGATGGATGAACAGAGAGATGGACAGAGGAGTATGTTTCAGAGTTGAGTAAGAATGATATTGGCATGTCATTCTTACAGATTGGAAAGCACAAATTTGAATGAAAATAAGATGTTTTATTCCATTTATTTTAATGGCTGGAAGATACAAAAGAAGGTACAAGTCAAAATGTAGAAAAAGAAAAGAAAAACCCTGTCCAGTTTTCTCAGTGGTTAGAGCATCGGCCCTCAGACCAATGAATCACGGGTTCGATTCCAGTCAAGGGCATGTACCTCGGTTGCAGTTCATCCCGGCCCTGGTCAGGATCATGAGGGAGGCAGCCAGTCGATGTGGCTCTTTCACATTGATGTCTCTCTCTCTCTCTCCCTCTTTCCCTCCTTCCTACTCTATCAATAGATAAATGGGAAAATATCCTCAGATGGGAATTTAAAAAAGAAAAAGAGAAGGAATTAAGAACATGAATATTTTTAGAAAGGGGATCTACAAGTAGAAATTCAGCTGACCCTATACTTGCACAGGAAGTGAAGCAGACAGGGAAAAACCCTCCAATAATTGAAACTTCTCAAGGTCACGGACTGCGTTGTTATAGTCTCTGTATCCCCAATGCGCCTGTGTCAGGCACTCCATAAGTGTTCACTGACCTAATCACTTATCAATTAATATTCTTCCACACAAATCCTAACCAGTGAGCTCTTCTCTAACGGGAATTCACGTCTTTAATCCTTCAAGAATGCTTGTCAGATCCTTCTGAAACGCCTTGAGCCCATCATTAAGAAAAATCCAGAAGGTTCATGGGAAGACTGGGTAAGTGATCCACTGTGTTACTAAAATGAGAAAACGGTCCAAACCAGTGCCGAGAGCACCATGGCAGCAACAGCCATGGCACGAAGAGGCAGCTCTAAGGGCAAGATCCCCAAAGGCTGAGACGTCTTCCCTGACGTTTACCAGGTATGTATGACGAGAGCACAGGGAACAGCGTCACTGAGAAGAATGGAAGGGCATGAAGAATACCCAGAAGGCTTTACCCACCCTGCTTAATAAGAAAGAAGAGCAAAGATTGAGCCTTCCTCAGACACACACACACACACACACACACACACACACACACACACACACGATGTGTTGAGTAGGGAGGAAGAAAACAGACATATTGCTGTTGAATAGGTCTCAAGGGAAATGATTTGTTTAATCCAACTTTACAATACCCTATATACTATTTTGTTAGCACGATTATCTCACATCTGTACACACTCACTGGAGTGCTAACATTCAGAAATAAAGCCCCAAATACCTTGTGATCTAAGCTCATACATCATGGATGTGCAGCAGGATTCCATATTATTTATTTAATTCAGACTTCTGAACTCAATCAGAAGGAAATTATTAGTGTACTAGCTGAAGGGGAAAACATATTATGATGAGTTAGTTCTATTACTGGTAACAATGCACCAATAACAATGACCAGATGTCAATTTTGATGCATATTTTCATTTTGAATATTTTTATTTTCACCTATCAGATGATATATTATTTTATTTTAACTAAATATGCTCATTCTGCAGATTGAAGCTGCTTTTGAACAAAGAATCAGTCTTTCAGCCACGGGATACTTCAGGTAAAAATTACAATTACAGCGTCTTGACTTAGCTGAGAAAATGGGAGGCAACCCAATCACTCAGGACCTCAGTTCCCTCATTTGTAAAACAAGTTTTCATTATGTGATCTCTGAGGTTCCTTCTAGGCCCCAAATTCTATGACTTCCATAGGCCTTTGAGCTATGTTCAAAGAAATAGTAAATAACAAAAATACCCTTATTGGGTAAAAAAAAAAAAAAAAAAAAGTTTAAAACATGACTTACAACATCTAATCATTATTTACTTTACTGTGAAAAAATAAAGAATAATAATATTCTTTATTGTGAAGAGTAAAATGAAATAACTTGGAACTCAATTTTACAAATTTTCCTCCCAATACCATAAAAATCTGTCTGTGTTGAAGCTCCTTGCCAGACAGAAGGAGACGGACCGCAGGTCATCACCAGTCACCACTGTGCAATGCCAGTCAGTGAGAGGGTCGAATGAAGCACAGAGAGGAGAGCTGATTGTCAAGTTCTGGAAGTGTAAGACATTAGTTTAACAATCTGATGAAACAAACCACCAAGTGAGAGAGAGAGAGAGAAACAGTAAAACAAATCCTCATGAAGAAAGAAGGAGGTAACAGCCCAGCCCTCTGGGAATGCTGATAAAATCAACTGAGGTTCTCAATGCACAGAGCTAAAGCCTAAGCCTATAAACCATCCAAATACAGACCTGGGAGAGCCGAGACACAGTGGTCTTCTGGTTTCTCCGTTTTTGACATCCTAACTGCAGCAGAGTGTCCTCTTTATTTTTTTTATTTTTGTTCCTTTATTGTTTTTTTTTTTTATTTTTTATTTTTTTTCCTTTTTTCTTTATCCTCACCCGAGGACATTTTTCCATTTTTTGTTCAGATAGAGCTGGAGGGAGAGAGAGGAAGAGAGAGAGAGAGAGAGAAACATCGATGTGAAGGGACACATTGAGTGGCTGCCACCCACACAACCAACCAGGGCCGGGGACAAACTGCAACCGAAGTACGTGCCTTTAGCGGAAACCGAACCCGGGTCTCTCTGTACCGCAGGCCGACGCTCCAACTGCTGAGCCAAACCGGCCAGGGCTATTGTTTTTTTTTAAGAGAGAAAGGAAGGGAGAGGGAGAGAGAGATAGAAACATCGATGAGAGAAAACATGGATGGGCCACTTCCTGCATGCCCCCCACTGGGGATCAGGTCCACAACATGGGCATGTGTCCTGACCGGAATCAAACTGGTGACCTCTTGGTGCGTGGGTTGACACTCAACCACTGAGTCACACCGGGCGGACAGCAACTTTTAAAATGAATCAACATTGTTTGTACACACACACAAGCTAAAGGGTTTTATTTCTTCCATCAGGGGCTACAAGGCCTTCATGGACTGGGAAAAAGGGGAGGGAGACCCGTTTCCTTACTATGTCTACGGAGCAGCCTGTTCTGAGGTTGAAATCGACTGCCTGACAGGAGCTCACAAGGTAACATAACTTTCCTCTTGGCAAGTTACAACAATGACAAAATTGCATTGCATATTAATAGTCCAATTTCATTATGCAATACTTTTACACAAGAACAAGATGCTTTCAATTCCATGGGAATGTCTACAGACCCAGCTTTATCCTGATTTTCCACTGAAAAAGAAGTCGTCAAGAGAAATTGTTCATGGCAGCCTAAAATGCATTGTTTCTTATTCTAATTCAGACAATGAAATTACTTTCCAACGTTTTTGCAAAAAAGAGAGAGGGGTGCTGTTCTGTTTCAAAAGGAAGATCAAGTTATCTAATCTGAAGGATAGGTAATTTAGCAAATAGTCTTGAGTAAATATTTTGAAAGCACATAGCAATGTGATGTTTCTCCAAAGTCAATTATCCCAACGGTACTACTGGCTCTAAAAAACATAGATTGGGGGTAGGGGACAAGAGAAGGGTTGTGAAAATAAGTTTGTGTTTGGTATTTAATTGGGATTCAGGAAGCCATCTATTGAAGGCAGAGAATGTATGGTGCCCCCCTTATTACAGTTTAAGTTTCAGTCATTTCAGAATCAATAGTTTATTCTTTTAATTAAAGAGAAATCAAAGAAATGAAATGAGAGGCCTATTGCTTCTGGCTATTTATGGCTGATCGACTAAAACATCCACAGATTCAGTGTGTGCACAGAATCTTTTCCTCTTGTCCAGCACCCACAAAGCAAAATAAACTAAGTTCCAAGATGGGAGCAAATTGAAGTCCAACTCTGAGGTGTGTCCAGTCTCCTTCCCAGTGCAGGGTCAGAATGGATGAAGCCTCATCCCAATGCCCACAGTAGGTTGCATGAGAGACCAACATTTGAGTCAAAAGAAGATTTCCTATTTAAAAAGCTAGATAGAAAGCAAAAACCCAGGTATTGAGCCTAAACAGATATTGGTGATGTTATCAGAACAAGCACCACACATGGGGGCAAAGGAAAACCCAGAGATATTCCTGAGATAAACCACAGATACTTAGAGGCTTTCTGTGGCTCCTTCACATCCAACAGGCACACGTCCAGAGCCAAAACAGAAGGCCCAGATTAGTTTCTCAGGGAAGGAAGGAGATTAGCAAGTCTAAGGTTGTCTCAACATTTGCCTTTCCTATGTTTCAAGATCTTGCAAATTCCCAAATTCACATAGGCACTATGGCTATATGATTTCCTCAATAAAACTTCCTTAATTGAACCATCATGAGGACTAGATGAGTTCATGAATTATCTTAGAGCAACGAATCCAGGTTGAGAATTAGATGAACGACCAGGCTCAATTATTTACTAAGTGACACTCAAGTACACCAACACAACATGGACTTTAGAGTCACTTAAGGGAAGTCAAAACCATGAATGCAAAAGACTTTCAGGGGTCATTGACAGTCCTGGCACTAACTTTGAAGAGCTAAGTAGATGTCTTACTACCTCTTAATGTTGATGGAGTTCAATGAAGTATTAATTAACTAGCAGGTGTTCTGGAATAATTTGGGATGAGTAAATCTTTTATTTTTATTTTTATTTTTTTTAATTAATTAATTTATTTTTGTTACAGATGTTTCTCCTTTTACCCCACTGATCCACACACACACACACACACCCCGCCCTGTCCCCAGCTTTGTTGTCCATGTCCATTGTTCATACGCACATGGATATAAGTTCTGTGGTTCATCTCTCCCCCACCACCCCCTCTTCTGGGGATTGTCAATCTGTACCCCACTTCCACATCTCTGGGACTACCCCATTCCTCAGACTGTTATGTTCATTATATTCCACAAATAAGTGAGATCATATGATACTTGTCTTTCTCTGTTTGGCTTGTTTCACTTAGGATAATACTTTCCAGGTCCCTCCATGTCATCTCAAAGGATAAGAGATCTTTCTTTCTTACAGCTGCATAGTACTCCATTGTGTATATGTACCACAGCTTTTTTATTCATTCGTCTACTGGGATGAGTAAATCTTTAAATAATATTTTAATTCAAGTTTTCACACTGAGATAATTTTAATTTTTGGCAGAAAATCAGAACAGACATCATCATGGATGCATGTTGCAGCCTAAATCCAGCCATTGATATTGGGCAGGTAGGTCCTGGCCCACTTAGGTGGATGCTGCTTCCTGGGAGTCATTGCGGAGGAGGTGAAGGCCTCCTGAAAAGCACACAGTATCACAGAGCTTGACATTTTTCCCTTCAGATTGAAGGTTCGTTTATTCAGGGAATGGGCTTTTATACCACTGAAGAGCTGAAATATTCCCCAGAAGGTGTCCTATACTCTCGAGGCCCAGATGAGTACAAAATTCCAACCATCACAGATATCCCAGAGGAATTCAATGTCTCCCTGTTGCCATCATCACAAACCCCACTGACCATCTATTCCTCCAAGGTAAGCACCCAGACCAGCTACCGTGCAGTGTGATGGATCAGGCAGCATAACAAATGAACGCAGGTGGACAAAATAAAAAATAGATGTCAACTATTTTCAGGACCAAATCAAGATAGACTGTCGGAGATGAATCTCCTAGAGAAAAGTGAGATTGAGGGAAGATAAATGATCTACCCGATGGCCATCCTGGGCCAAGAATATTATTTATGAAATCCTCTTCCAATGAAACTCAAATTCAGCAAAAAGCTTTGATTGGATAGAATAACATTTTTACTTACGAACCAGAAGACTAAATTATTAAGTGGGAGCGAGGGCACAACGCCACTGAAATCTTAGAAGGCAGCAGCAGTAGCAACAGAATCGTGGACCAGGCCTCAGAAAAACCTGGAATCCTGCTCCACCCCACCAATTCTCTATGACATTAGGCAAATCACTCACCTCCAAGGGGCTCAGGGTCCTCAGCCATACCCAGAAATAATCCAAAGCAATGTTTCTCCACTGGCCCAGGAAGGGGTGAGGAATTTTGCCCCTCAGGGACCCTTTGGCAATGTCTGGAGACATTTCCGGTTGTCACCATTATGGAGGAAGGGGCTGCTCCTGGTGAGTAGAGACCAGGAATGCTGCTAAACATCCTTCAATGCACAAATCAGCTGTCCGCAACAAGGAATGATCTGGCCCCAATGTTAACAGTGTGAAGGAGCAAAGACACCAACCCTTAGCAATTGCTAAAGTAGTGAAACTGCACATTAAAATAAAGGTCAGTGTGTGTTTGCATTGCTGTATGCAGATTATGTGAAAAGCACCCTCACAGTTGACACATCTATCTACTAGATTTTATCACTTCCAAACTGGATCCCTCTTGCAGCCCAGGAGCTTCCTTGGGGCATATGGTGATGAGGCAGAGCAGTTGAAAGGAAAGACAATCAACAGGACCTTTGGATTCTCTTTAGGCTGGAAATCACTCAAAGGGGAAAAGGCAAAAGGATGCTCAGAGCCCACAGAGAGCAGCGTTCAGGCCACCATGAGTAACAGGGCAAGCAGGACCCTTGGGTGCCTGTGGTTGTGGCCAGCCACCCACAAGCAGACCTGTAGGACATCATGGGTTCGCAGATGTGCCATGAAGTGTACTAAGTAATAATAACAGGGACCTACCAGGTACCACGTGCTGTGCTGGGTACTTTTGTGCTCCCTTGTAAGGTAGGTGTCGTTGCCTGCATCTCATGGATAAAGGAAAAGGAGCTCAGAGAGATAATCTCACCGAGAGAAACACAGAGTAAGGGCCAGGATTCAGATTCAGTCTCTCTAGCTCAGGGGTTGCAAATTGGGGCCACTAGCCAAATCTAGCCTGCAGATGTGTTTTCTTTGTCCTACATACTGCTTTTTCAAGTCAGGGAACTTTACATGAAAAAGACAAATAACTAAATTCTCTTGAAAATTTGGATGATTTGATACTTTGGGCTGCATTTCTGGAAGGCAACAATTAGCTAGAATTGAAGAATAGCTGCCTCCTTTAGACAGGACACAGGCATCTCTACTTCACCATAATCCCCACTATTTTTTATTGTCCTTCATCTCTTCACATCACTCATTTATGTTACCTGACTATTTCTTACAGGTGGTGGGCTTGCAGCCCATCATCTGGTACCAAAGTCTGTACTCTTTCTTCTAGAGTACCTGTCTTTCCTAACCCTGGAGTCATAATGAGGCATTTTTCTCTTTGCTCATGAAGCTGGCCAGTTCAATCCACTGAATGTGTTTTTCTATGTAGGATATGCTACTCTCACTACACACACACACACACACACACACACACACACACCTACTCTCACTACACACACACACACACACACACACACACACACACCTCTGTTCCTATATAACATTTAACCCAAACAGGATTAAATATATGGGTAATTCATGTAATACTGGATTTTTAAGAGCAATCAAGCTTCATTCAGTCAGTAAGTCATTCAACAAACATTTATTGAAAACCTGTTGTGTACAAGAGTCTGTGCCAGGGGTTGGGGATACAACAGTGAGCAAGACCTGGCCCCTGACTTCTAGCAATTTATAATTTAGTGTAGATGCTTCTAAAATAAATGTGATCTCTTGTAGGGCCTGGGGGAGTCAGGAATGTTCCTGGGGTCATCTGTATTCTTTGCTATCACTGATGCTGTGGCTGCAGCACGCAGAGAAAGAGACATAGCTGAAGACTTCACAGTGAAGAGCCCAGCAACTCCAGAATGGGTTCGAATGGCCTGTGCAGATCGGTTCACAGAGATGGTATGGAATTATTGTTTATTTTTCTAATAGGTAATTTTTCTTTTCCTGCTTCTCATACCTCTTAGGCAAATTTATAACCTAATCTATGCCTGATCAAATTATAAAATGAAAGTTAAAATCAGCCATAATCCCACTAACCAGAAAGCACCATCTCACACACACACACACACACACACACACACACACATTTTCAAACCTCTTTTCTTTGGATAAATTATTTACATACAGATACACAATCTTTTTGTTTGTTTGTTTTGATATTTTGTTCAGATAGAGTGGGAGAGAGAGAGAGAGAGAGAGAAACATCGAGGCAAAAGGGACACATTGAGTGGCTGCCACGCGCACAACCCAACCAGGGCCGGGGACAAACTGCAACCGAGGTACATGCCCTTAGCAGGAACTGAACCCGGGTCTCTCCGGACCACAGGCCGGCGCTCTAACCGCTGAGCCAAACCGGCCAGGGCCAGATACACAATCTTTACACTGCTCTAAGGTCTGTCATCAGTCTGACCACACTCCCTTCACCCATCTTTTAATTCACATATGTTTACATGTAAAATATACCCTTTTTTACAAAATCGGGACATCCCTGATATAAAAGTTTGAAAAGATTTGAATGGCGTAATTAGGAGTGACTCTGTGAGTCTTCATTCACAGAAAATCTGGATTAAAGAGATGCTTTCCTCATGAAAGATCACTCAAAAGCCCTGGCCAGTTTGGCTCAGCGGTTAGAGCGTCGGCCTGCGGTCCGCAGAGACCCGGGTTCGGTTCCCGCTAAGGGCACGTACTGCGGTTGCAGTCTGTCCCCGGCCCTGGTTGGTCGTGCGGGTGGCAGCCACTCGATGTGTCCCTTCACGTCGATGTTTCTCTCTCTCTCCCTTTCTCTCTCTCCCTCCCACTCTATCTGTACAAAAAATGGAAAAATATCCTCGGGTGAGGATAAAAAAAAGATCACTCAAAAAATAACTGGCCAAACTCATTTATTCCACAAACTCATAATCTTTATTCATAGCTACTGGCATAAGTTTTGGAGACAAGGGCAGGGCAGAATGTTTAACTTCTTTCTAAGTCCTTTGTTATAAAGGCTACTTAGACCATGTTCAGAGTAACCGTTTATCCTTCATGCTTATCTTGACCTGTAATATTCCTTGCCATTCCACCGACCTCATATATATTTGAAACAATGAGAATATAAGCCCTTTAAATCCTTTTTTTTTATCCTCACCCAAGGACATTTTTTCAATATTTTGTTCAGATAGAGTGGGAGGGAGAGAGAAAGAGAGAAACATCAACGTGAAAGGGACACATCGAGTGGTTGCCACCCACACGACCCATCCAGGGCCGGGGACAAACTGCAACCAAGGTACGTGCCCTTAGCGGGAACCGAACCCGGGTCTCTCTGGACCGCAGGCCAATGCTCTAACCGCTGAGCCAAACTGGCCAGGGCAGCCCTTCAAATCCTTGAGGAGACTTCAGAGATTCAAGAGTTATCCTGTTCTGGCCTTCAGACCCCCTTCCTCAGCTGGAACCCAGCAGAGAGAATGACCAGAGCCAGACTTGAGTGGGGCCGCCCAAGGGAAACAGAAAGGAGGAAGTCCTGACTCTTGGTGTAACAAAGAAGACCAGAAACACACAAAATATAGATTCTGCTGTTACTTCCTGTCACAGGAGTTGCTTCTGCTCTTCCATCCATGTAGTAACACAAACCAGAAACCTAGGGGTTGGCTGCATTTCTTTCTCTCATTCTCAGTAGCCAGTTCTTTACCATATCCTGTTCATTTTAACCCTTAACAATCCCCTGGCCTGGCCGGTTTGGCTCAGCGGTTAGAGCATCAGCCTGCGGTCCAGAGAGACCCTGGTTCGGTTCCCGCTAAGGGCACGTACCTCGGTTGCAGTTTGTCCTCGGCCCTGGTTGGGTCATGTGGGTGGCAACCACTCGATGTGTCCCTTTCACGTTGATGTTTCTCTCTCTCTCTCTCCCTCCGACTCTATCTGAACAAAATATGGAAAAATGTCCTTGGGTGAGGATTAAACAAACAAACAAACAAAAAAACAATCCCCTGTTCTACCCTATTCCACCATTTTTTTAAAATATGTTTTTATTGATTTTTTTTAGAGAGAGAGGTAGGGAGAGAAATAGAAACATCGATGTAAGAGAGAAACATCAATTGGCTGCCTCCTGCTACTGGGGATGGAGCTCACAACCCGGGCATGTGCCCTGACTGAGAATCAAAGCCGGACCTCTCAGTCCATGGGACTACCTCAGTCCACTGAGCCACACCCACCAGGCCTATTTCTCCATTTCTAACCGCTCTGTATGCACTCCTTAAACAAACATGTTTTCAGTATCTAATAGGTGCCTTGCATTGTTCTGGGTGCTTGGAATGAAAGAGAGCTATTGCTACTTACTCTCTAGAGACCCGAAGTCCAACTACTATCTCTCTAGCCTGGGTCAGCGCAGCCTCCTAAAGGTCTCATGACACCCACTGCAGCCAGAGATTTGTGGTGTGACAAATATGATCATGTCACTCTAGCACCTACACAAGGTGAAAAGGTTCCCATTGCTCTTGGATTAAAGATAAAACTTTTTAATTTCCCCTGCCAAGTCTAGAAACCTGTAAAGCCCCCACCCTGCCTTCTGTCTCCACCCAGCCACACCTGCTCCTTGCATCCAGGCCAGAGCCCCTGCCATGCTTCTCCCTCTGCTTGGAGCCATCCTCTTTTCCTCACCTGGCTAACCTCTCCTCGCCTTTCCTACTTTAACCATAGTCAAGAAATTAATTTGATACTTTCCTTCTTGCATAGTTTGAGGTACCAGGAGTATAGTGGTGAACCAGATACAGGTCCGTGCTCTCAAGTTGTTTACAGTGGAGCAGAGGAGAAAGACAAACATTACTGTTAATTATAAGTTGGCTGATTCTGGGTTATCCCTGTGCGTCAGTGGAACAAAACTTTTCCAACTTAGCTTTAACCTTTTCTTAAAGTCAAAGGAGTTATGGATATGGCTCCAGCTTTGATCATTCATCGTGTAATCATTCATTCATCTAACATTTATTCAGCCCCTTCCATGTGCCAGGCACCACTGGGGGGCAAAAGAAAACAGTGAGCCCGTCAGTCTTTGCCTGCATGGAGCTTATATTTTGTTAGGGGAAACCAGACAGTAAACAAACACACAATATAATTTCAAGTGAAGCAAAATAGAAGAATAAGGGGCTAAAATGCAATGGAGAAATTTATTGTGGATTATTTTTGTATAGGGTATTGAGAAGTTTTCTCCGGGTGTTCACATTTAAGCTGAGGCCTGAATGAAGTGAAAGAGCAAGTATAAAGCTGGTGATGGCATGTTTAAGGTAGAGAATAGCTTGTGCAAAGGCCCTGAGGCAGTTTTAATAGAGTTAAAGTAGCCTGGGACTAAGTAGTCTTCAAAAATAAATAATCTTCTTAAATTTCTGATCTTGCTTCTCAGGTAGAAAAATTTGTAACTGAGAGGCTGTAATTGTTCTCCCTGGCAGAGAGATTAAAAAAAAAAAAGAAAAAGAAATCTTGCCCTGGCTGGTTTGGCTCAGCGGTTGGAGTGTCGGCCTGCGGACCAGAGAGTCCCGGGTTTGGTTCCTGCTAGGGGCATGTACCAAAAAGAAAGAAAGAAATCTGTGGCTGTACCAGTTATCTTTACATCAGCAGGGTGAAATCTGGATGATCCTTCCAGACCACAGATTTCCTGGCAACTACCCTCTGTCACAACCTAAGTCTATTCTTCAGATCTTTAGAAATTATGTTTGCTCACACAGCAGGCCTCCTGAAGTTCTTACAGCCTGGCCCCCCATACAGGCCAGTCTCCTTAAAGCGTCTTGGAACAAATCTGAGTCTGCATCAGAATTTACATTTGATCAAATTACAACATTGTCTTTAAATTCATATATATAATGATTCTCACTGCCATATAATAGTACTATACAAAAGAAAAACAAAATTTAAAGAAGTGTAGATACTAACTTTCTTTGCATATGGCCTTTGAATGCTATTGTCAAAACAGTTTGTTGAGCCTGGCCACTGTGGCTCAGTGATTGAGTGTTGACCCATGCACCAAGAGGTTGCCAGTTTGATTCCCAGTCAGGGCACATGCCCAGGTTGAGGGCCAAATCCCCAGTGGGGCAGCCAATTGATGTTTTCTCTCATCAATGTTTCTATCTTTCTTTCCCTCTTCCTTCCTCTCTCTCTAAAGAAAAAAAAAAATTGTTTTTAAACAGTTTGTTGTGATGGATTAGAAAATGAGATGGTCAGAATGTATGTGTACTCGACATGAGCATTGGAAAATCTAAAACCTCTTTTAATAGGCTCTTTATAACCATAAGGTAAATAACAGCCAGACTATGTCTATTTCTTAAATAGAAATGATGGTCACAGTACTTTTCCTTTTGGAATTAAATAAAACATGCATTTAAATGCATGTAAAAACACTGTGTAAATATAAGTCACTGTAACTATTAAGATTAAGGTCTCCAGCCCTGGCCGGTTTGGCTCAGCGGTTAGAGCGTCAGCCTGCGGTCCACAGAGACCCGGATTTGGTTCCCGCTAAGGGCATGTACCTTGGCCGCAGTTTGTCCCTGGCCCTGGTTCGGTCGTGTGGGTGGCGGCCACTTGATGTGTCCCTTTCACATCGATGTTTCTCTCTCTCTCTTCCTCTCTCCCTCCCGCTTTATCTGAATAAAAAAAAGGAAAAATGTCCTCAGGTGAGGATAAAAAAAAAAAAGATTAAGGTCTCCATCAAATACTCATAACCATTAATGACCTTCTTCAAAATGTGCCCCTCCCAAAGACTTTAACAGTTTCCACATTAAATCAGGTTGACCTGGTGAGGGCAGAAAAAATAACTCAAGACTAGCAGCCACACCCTGGCTGGTTTTGCTCAAGTGTTAAAGTGTCAGCCAGCGGACTAGAGAGTCCTGGATTCAGTTCCCACTAAGGCAGTGGTTCTCAACCTTCCTAATACCGCAACACCC